AAGATGGAATATGTAATTTGAAATTTGAAATTTGTCATACCGGAATTGTGGAATTTTTAAAATTTGGAATTTGGAATTTGGAATCTAGAATTTTGAATTTTGAATTTTTGGATTCTGGATTCAAAATTAATGGAATTCTGGAATTTGAAATTTCGAATTTCGAATTTCGAATTTCGAATTTGGGATTTCGAATTTCGAATATGGAATTTTGAATTTGGAATTTCAGAAAGTTATGTCCTGTAGTCGGGGAACCTGAGAAATCAGCAATTGGAGTACTGAAAATTCGGGAAATCCAACAAATCAGATAAAATTGAGAAGGTAGAATTTTTGGGTTTTGAATTTTGAATTTGGAAATTGGAATTTGAAATTTAAAAGTTTTAAAATTTCTATTAAGGATTTTTATGAGTTTGGGATTTTTAGAAATTAGAAATTTTGGAGTTAGAAATTTTAAAAATTTTGAAATTTGAAATTTTTTGGAATTTATAATTTTTAGGAATCTAGGATATTCAGGAATTCGGAAATTTTGGGATTTTGAAATTTGAAATTTTGAAATTTTCCAATTTTCGGATATTGGGACTTTTAGGAATTAGAAAACTTTGGAATCTGGAATTTGGAATTTGGAATTTGGAATTTGGAATTTGGAATTTGGAATTTGGAATTTGAAAATTTGAAATTTTTAAAATTGTAAGATTTTGTAATTTTCGAAATTTAGGATTTTCAAACATCTAGGATTTTTAGAAATTTGGAAACCCTGGAATTTCGAAATTTTGAAATTTTCGGAATTTATGATTTTTAGAAATTGAGAAACTTTGGAATTTGAAATCTGGGATTTCGTAATTCGAAAATTAGAAAAACTTGGAATTCGAAATTTGGAATTTTCCGAATTTAGAAGTTTTTAAATTTTTGAATTTGTAATTTCGAAATTTCAAAATTTCAAAATTTCAATTTATTATTCTTTTTTTTGAATTCAGGATTTTTAGAAATTTGGAAACTTTGGAATTTGAAAATTTTGGAATTTTTGAAATTTGGGGGTTTCGAAAATGGGAATTTGAAATTAGGATTTAGGAATTTGTAATATCAAAGTGTTGGTATTTCTGGAGTTCTGGAATTTGTAATTCGAGATTTCGAAATTTTGGAATTCAGAATTTTTATGAATTTATAATTTTTAGAAACTGGAAATTGGAATTTGGAGTTAAGGATCCGGAATTGAAATCTAAAATCCTGAAATCAGAAATTGGTAATCTACGAAACAATGTCCTGTAGTCGGGGAACTGAGAAATCAGCAAGTGGAGTACCGAAAATTCGGGAAATACGAGAAGTCAATTAGTCGGGTCAAAGTTCGGAATTCGAGACGTCGTAATCAGTTGAAAAATCAAAAAGTCCAGAAACCGAGAAGCTGCGTAGTCCGGAATTTTTATCGCAAGACACAAGTTTAAAAAATAGTTTTATGAAAATTTATTGAATAAAAATTCAAAAGAAAAATTTAAAAAGAATGGTTTGTTGACAGCAGACTTTGATGAAGTTTTAGCACAATGGAGGAGTTACCTGGAAACAAACACATGAATTCTCAATTTTCAAGATTCTTGTTTCCACGAGCTCAATTATCTCGGTTTTTGCAGAATATATCAGAAATCTGTCAACTGATAAAGTGTTTGTCAAAACCTTAAAAAAAAGTTTCTGGTTTATCACCTTTTGGTATATTTGACAAGCACCGAGGTGAACAGGCTCAAAATTGAGAAAATTTTCCATCTAAAAACTCATCTGATGTACTGTATTAGCCAGACTTTCGTCTGTGGATCTTTTTCGCCGCGTAGAGGCTCAGTACATTCGAAAGAGTAACAGGTTTTTTAGGGGAAAACCTGTCAAAAAACAGGACCGTCCATTCGGAAGTTCCAATGATCAGGATCTTCCATCCAGTTTTGGATCGCATTCCCGAAATCGTAGTCCTCTTTATCTAGAAGACGGTTTAGGTCATCAGGGAGCTCGGGTTGAAGCTGCGGTGACATATCGTCCTTCGAGTGTTCCAATTGTTCCGAGTCCTCCGATTCCTCCAAGTCCGAGTCGGGATCTCTTTGTCGCTTGAGCTCTGGTGGGCCATCTGGATCCTATCGGTTAATGTAGGGACGAGGAGAAGAGGGTCCATCGATATCCTCCAGCAAGGATTTTTGGAAAGAACCGAATAATAGAGAATAAGTTGAATTTTCAGAAAAATAAGGGAAACTTTCCGAGCCTTTACAAGGCTCAATGGAAAGCTTCCCGAAAAATGTAGGCAGTCATTCTGTCAGCCCGCCAAGCAAAGAGAGTGACATTGATTCGCACGGCGAAGCAGGCGGAAACATAGAAGCAGGCGGAAAAGCAGGCGGAAACAGAATGGATCTGATGGAGACGTAGAGAAAGAGAGTATTTTCGTATATCTGTCCTTGACAGAAAGTTATGCTGGAGTGGTGGTAGACGGTGCAACAAGTACCAAAACGAGAGAAATCGTATACAAAGAGTCTTTGTGGGAACAAATTGAAAATATTAATTTTTGATGGGGTATTTTTATATTTTGAAAGTTTTCAGAGTTCGAAGTCAGCACTCAGATTTTGGAAATTGACATTTCAAATTTTGGTAGTCGGAAGTGAGAATTTGGAATTTGGAATCCGGAATTCCATAAACAAAATGAGGACGTCTGGAAACCAAGAAGTCTCGTAGTCATGAAACTGAAAGACTGTCGGGAAGCAGAGAACTGAAAATTGGGAAAACGGAAAGTTCGGGAAACCACAAAAGCAGAAAGTCGGGAGTCGAACTTTGGAATTTGAGGTCGGAAAAACAAGAAATCCGGGAGTCAGGAAGCCGAGAAGTCGAGAAGTGGAGTACTGAAAAATCGGGAAACTGAAAAGTTGTGAAGTCTGAAGCTTTTTTGCAAAACACAAGTTAAAAAATGTTTCATGAGAATTTATAGACAAATTTCGAACAGAAATGAAGGCGGTCGATCTACAACAGACTTTGATGAAGTTGATAGCACAATGGATGAGTTACCTGGAAACAAACACATGAATTATCAATTTTCCAAGATTCCTGTTTGCACTTTGAGCTCAAGTAGCTCGTTTTCTGTGAAATATACCAGAAATCGGTAAACTGGTAAAGTGTTTTTCATAACTTTTTAAAAACTTTTATCGTTTACAACGTTTTGATATCTTTTACTGCCGCCGAGATAAATTGACTCAAAATTAATAAATTTTCCCACTTAAAAACTCACCTGGCGTACTGTATTCGCCAAACGTTTGTCTGTTCATTCTGCCATAAGCGTTATAATAATACACATGTATTGACTCCTGCCTAATTTTTTGACTTCTTTTTTTTTCCTTTTTTGCTCTTTTTGCTCTTCTTATTGCATTTTTTGTGTCTTCTGATGTCTTTTGGATTGTGGTTGTTCTGTTCAGAGTCGATAATTCTAGAACTACTTTTCAATTTATTTTTTCGGTTACCGTATTTCTCCTAATAGTCAACTTTGAGCTTATTTACCTCGGTTCCCGTAAAAGACATCAAAAATTTATCAACTGATAAAATGTTGGTGATATTATGAAAAACAATTTATCAGTTGACAAATTTTTGATATCATTTACAGGAATCGAGATAATTAGGCTCAAAGTGTACGTATAGGGAGGATCTAGGTTCTAGATGTAGCTTCTAGAACTCTTCTCGGGAATTTTCTGCGGCGAATTGTACCGGACGTGGAAGATCTAGAATAGAATAACTTAAGGTTCGGGTTTTGGGAGGAAAAAACTGGTTTCAGCTCCTGGGCATTTGAAATGTGAAGTTTTTGAGATACAAGAGAAGTCTACATTTCAGCCCGTCACACGAGAAATGCCCTTTGTAACAAGAAATGCCAAAATTGGCGTTATTCGCTTTTTTGGATTTGATTATGTTTTTTTACACCTATGCAGATTTCACTTACTTCATACACTGGTTGAGCCTACACCAATTCTTCGTGCATGTTCCAAGCTTCGAGATGATCGCTTCTGTCCTTGTAGCGGCTTCACAGCAACTCCCATCAAATTTTTAGGAATTTTTAGATAATCATTGGCATTAAACCAATGTAAACCACCAGAGAATATGGAAAAAATTTATTAATAAAAAATAGTGTTTTTATTATAGAAAACAATAGAGATATTAACAGCTCAAGAGGTATATCAGGTTAATTATATAATCGTATTCCGCTTCTTGTCATGCCCCGGTGCTGGAACTGATTTGGCTGCCACGTTTGCGAGTGATGGTTGGTGCATTGGTGGCTGACGATTTTCCTCTTCCACGGCTACTTGGGGCTGTCGAGGCATTCCTTGGGCACGACCTGTGGTTGCTTCTGTAGCCACTCTTCCACGGCCACGACCACCAGACGAAGCTAGAGTAGTCGAAGCTGCTGCTACTTCTGAAGATCGCTTGGCATAATCTTTTGAATATCTTCTACAAGGACAACCGAATGCTGAAACATTAAAGCGATTAAATTTAAGCTGAAAAAAGGGTTCAAAAGATGTCTCACCCTTGTATGGAGCCGGACGCTTACGAGGAGCCTTTTTGGGTTTTTGAGTATCTTCTGAGGAGGATGGTTAAGCTGGGCGAGCTGGAGACGGTTGAGGAGGAACTTTGGCTAATGGAGAACGACGACGAGTGACTTCTGGAGTCTGTGTCTTTGCTGGAGCTTTTAGTGATCCATTAGCGTTTCTGACGGATCATTCTTGACGTAGGCGTCAAGCGTCGACGTAGAGCAACTAGGGCAGTAGAACGTCCTGTTGGAGAACGACGTCGAGAAGCTATCTGATTTGTCGTTGACGTCGCTGGAGTTCCTTGGGTTCCTGTGCCTCGTTGGATGATTGTTGAAGCATCAGCAGATCTCAAGCGTCGACGAGGTGCCACTGTACTCGAATTAGCGTGTTGGGGTGAAAGAAGCGTGTCCTGGAGCCAAATGAGCATCTGAAAAAAATGCATTCAAAACACCTTCTCAAGTTTGGAAAAAACACTTACCATTTGATTGGGTTTGAACCAGGCAATTGATTCTCAGAAAAATCAAAAAAGGGCCTTTCCGAATTCCATACAGAAGGAATTCTGGAAAGATCCGAATAATAGTAAGACATCTTTTCAGTGAAGTTGTCAGTATGATACTGTATTAGCCAGACTTGCGCCTGTTGATCTCTTCCGCCGCGTAGAGGCTCAGTACATAGAAAGAGTAACAAGTTTTATCTGGGAAAAACCTGTCAAAAAACCTCGTCCGTTGGATCATTTATGGGATTTGTTGTACATCATCACATTGTTCATCAATTTCCATATTGGTTGTCTTCGTCGTCCATTGATTCATTTCATCATAGGATGAGTTTCTTCTTCTCTATTTTTTTCTACATCCATTTCTATCTCCAATCTTCTTGTTCACCCGATCCATCAACGTGACTTCTAGTTGCTCCTTCTCCTCTCTCATCTGCCTGATTCCATTTTTCAACTTCGCATTGGCTCTCTTGAATTCGTCCATCTTCGTTTTCAAGTCGTCGTTCTCCTTCTTCACGGCTCGATTCTTGATGACTACCTCTTTCGATTTCTCAATTCGCAAAGCGGAAAAGTTTCCGGTGCTGACTGGATGGCTTCTTGACTCTTCTTGGTCATTTTTTGAGAAGTTGTTCGATTAATCTGGAAATTTCAGAACATATTTTAACAAATAAGAACTTCAGTTTTGGAACTGAAAATTTTTTGTCAAATCGGGCCGTTCATACCAGAAAATTGCCAAAATTAAGCACCCGAAGCATCAGAGTCAGACTCCAGAATAGTTATTTGAAAATATTTCATTTTATAAAAAATATAATACCGAAGCATCAGAGTCAGACTCCAGTTCTGAGGATGAAGAAGATGAAGCGCATCTTTTTTAGAATCAGCCTTGTTTTTGCGGGTGTTTCTAGATTTCCTCTTAACTGGACTGTCATCAAAATCAGAGTCACTATCATTATAAGTAACACATCTCACGGATCCTCTTTTGTGTCTTGACTCCTAAAAAATAATTTTTGAAAAATCAGAAAATTTTCCAGGAAAACTGTACACGAAGATCCACTTCCGGCTCCGATTGTGAAGAATCAGCAAGTGCTCTTCTTTTTGAATTGGGTCCTTTTGATGCATCAGGAGCAGGAGCCTTGCGAGTTCTTCTGGCAATCGATGTCTGTAAGATAAGAACAATGAGCTTTCAATAACCCACTAAAAGTTATAACTCACAGAAAAAACGTTTTGGGAAGACATAGTTTGTTCCTCGGTGTAGACAATCTGCAAATTGAAATGGATTGAGTGAAAATTGTGTTTAATTAATTAAGTTAAAAAGAAGGAACATTCAGAGAGAGATTGAAACTAATAATTTGTGAGTTATGAGCTTTTACAACTTTTCTAACGTTGTTTTGAGCCAATTGAGCCGCTCAAAAAGAACCTATCTTGTTTTTTTCTGCTCATAACTCGGTTTGTTTTTGAGCTATTATTTTTGGGTTGAAAGTTTTGAACGTGTAGTAACATTTCAAGTTTGAGAAAAATGCTTACCTCTTGGATGGGCTCAAACCAGCAATTGACTTTCAGAAAAATAAAAACGAAATTTCCGGATTCCATGCAGAAGGAATTCTGGAAAGTTCCTAATAAGGATTAGACCTCTTTTCAGTGAAGTGGTCTGGTACTGTATTAGCCAGACTTTCGTCTGTGGATCCCTTTCGCCGCGTAGAGGCTCAGTACATTCGAAAGAGTAACAAGTTTTATTTGGGAAAAACTTGTCAAAAAACCCATCGTCGTTTCGTCTTCTTGACCTCATTTTCAAGCTGCATGTTGATGGCGGTATACATCTGGCATTGGATAAGGATCTCTCAAAAAACCTCAGCCACTTGTTGATCTACCGATTCTTCCTTAACTCGCTCCTCATCGTTGTTTTGTTGAAGTTGAAGCATCTGAGTTTCCGCCTGAGTTTCGACCGGAATAGCTGGAACCGAAGACGTGACTTTATTGGGAACACCTGAAATACCAACATTTAAAGAAAATGTTGTGAAAACAAATAAGGGTAATGAAACCATAATTGGTAATGTGACCTAAAAAATTTGATATAAGATCCTTACCTGGCTTTCGGTTAGATTGTTCTCATCAGCCAACTTGTTCCGCTGATCTATTGATGGATAGGGGTTCTCATTGAACACCGCCAAGAGCAATTGGTTTTGTTCATCAGTAAAAGTCACCCGACTTGTCCTCTGAAAACGTTTTTTGAACACTTGCAGCAAAAAAACTTCTTACCTTTTTATATGTGCTCTTTCTTTTCAGTTGTCGTTTTGAGCTAATTGGCTCACTGAGTTCTTCCGATTGCTGATCGTCCGTTTGGTCCTCGACATCCTGAGAACGTTTTGGGAAGACATAGTTTGTTCCTCGGTGTAGACAATCTGAAAATTGAAATGGATTGAGTGAAAATTGTGTTGAATTAATTAAGTTAAAAAGAAGGAACATTCAGAGAGACATTGAAACTAATAATTTGTGGGTTATGAGCTTTTACAACTTTTCTAGCGTTGTTTTGACCCAATTGAGCCGCTCAAAAAGAACATATCTTGTTTTTTGGGTCATAGCTCGGTTTGTTTTCAAGCTATTGTTTTGAGGTTGAAAGTTTTGAAAGTGTAATAACAGTTCAAGTTTGAGAAAAATGCGTACCTCTTGGTTGGGCTCGAACCAGCAGTTGATTTTCAGAAAAATAAAAGGAACTTTCCGAACTCCAAGCAGAAGGAATTCTGGAAAATCCCGTACTGTATTAGCCAGACTTTCGTCTGTGGATCTCTTTCGCCGCGTAGAGGCTCAGTACATTAGAAAGAGTGACAGCTTTTTTAGGAGAAATCCTGTCACAAAACTCGGAGAGTAGATTATTTAGTTATTGAATCCTGGTCAGCGGTCGGTGTCAAGACCGATGACAATCCTCACATCATATTCTCTAAATCCTTTTTTTCTTTCTTCCGAACTTTGTCTTGTAGCTGTTGGATCAGTGCATCCTTCTGGGTGTTTTCACCTCGAAGAGCGGAGAAATTTTGTTTGAGATTTGTTATCTCTGCTTGAGAGTTCGCCAGATTCTGATCCAGTTCAGAGATTTGATCTTTGAGAGTTTTCCGTTCTGTGAAAATAGCCCCGATGAAATTTTGGACCAGAAACTAGGCATTTTTTAATTTGAAAGTTTTCACATTCACTTTTTGTGATGATATTTGAAACACAGCTTACTTCTTTTGGGCTTCGGACGAATTGCAGTTGGCATTTGGCTGTCGACAAGGATCCTGAAAAGAAATAAACAAGACTTGAATTTTGAACTGGAAAAGGTTTCTCACCTTGGGATGGTGGGTGGCCGAATTGTTGGAAACCAGTAGAGTTGCCAAATTGTGGTTCACACTGCTGGAGCCGGAGCATGAGCCAGTAGTGGTGACGGGGCAAAGGGATACTGCAATTGGAAAGTTTGGAACATTCTTTGCCAATTTTGCGGATCCACCACTTCTTGATCTTCTACTTCTCCCGATTCTCCACCATCTTCCTCCGCGTCCATCTCCTCGTACCTACGCTTCATGACACCTGGTCATGAGTAGTCAGCGTCGTCCAGTTTCTCCTCTGAAACTTTTGAGCATTTCCGATCGATTCTTTTAATAAAAAGGACACTCACTCTTTTCTTTTGTTCTCCTGTTCTATTCAGTCCTGGTGGTGCGTCGATGTCGGTGTGCTCTTTAAGAATCTTCTACTGAGTCCAACACAACAAGTCGTCCTCAGCGTTGAACTCCAGTACAGACACGTCGTACGTTGCAGATCTGAAATGGAGTACTATTGGTATGGGTATTTAAAAAAACTGTTTTAAGTTTCTGGCCTTTTGAAATTTAAGGTTTTTGAAAAACAAACTGATATTGGAAATTGGGTTCAAAAATGCATTTAGAGATTAAAATGGACACTTACCATTTGATTGGACATAAACCAGGCGATTGATTTTCAGAAAAATCAAAAAAGGGCCTTTCCGAATTCCATACAGAAGGAATTCTGGAAAGATCCGAATAATATAATAGTAAGACATCTTTTCAGTGAAGTTGTCAGAATGGTACTGTATTAGCCAGACTTGCGTCTGTTGATCTCTTCCGCCGCGTAGAGGCTCAGTACATAGAAAGAGTAACAAGTTTTATTTGGGAACAACTTGTAAAAAAACCCATCGTCGTTTCATCTTCTTGACTTCATTTTCAAGCTGCATGTTGATGGCGGTATACATCTGGCATCGGATAAGGACCGCTGGGTGCGCCTTCGTGTTTTCCAGTCCCCACTCATAAAACGGCCGAGGTACTGTTCGCACTCGTCAAGTTGCCTCTTCCCTTACTTTGAGCTGTTGGATGGACGACAGGATTGATCTTTTGCCTGTATTAGGTTGGCGGGAAAGTCTTTGTCACTCTGTTTGTTTAATCACTGTTCTCGTATATGGAGGCTGTGTATGATATCGACTCTAGTGAATAACAAGGTGATAAGAACCTTCCATATAAACAAGTCCCCATTTCCTTCCCTGCTCCTCATCTGTAATTGAAACGATATGTTTGTTCCCACTGCTATTCACATCAGACATGTTTTGATTTACCTCTTCCTATCTCACACCACGATGAAGGATTCGGAAACTTTCTTGAAGAATGTGTACAACACACATGCCCCTCACTACAATACTATTCGCAATTGGTTCCATCGTTTCGAAAAAGATGACTTCTCGCTCGATGAAAAGGATCGCTCTGGGAGACCCCGTGAGTTGGATTTGGACAAGCTGAAGCACGCATTGCAATCGGATCCATTTCAATCTAGCCGTGAACTAGCTGTCACATTCGGAGTTCACCATAGCACAGTCCTTGAAGGCTTGAAGTCTCTTGGAATGAGAAAACTTTTTGGTCGATTCATACCTCATCACCTGACTCAAGCCAACCTTGACCGCCGAGTCGACGATTCGATTACTCTTCTCACTCTCCACGCGGGCGATCGATGGCTGGACCGGCTAATAACCGGAGATGAGAAGTGGGTCTTCTACGATAATCACCACAGGAAATCCCAGTGGGTTGGAGAAGGAGAGAGCCCACAGGATGTCCCCAAACCCGGCCTTCATCCGAAAAAAGTTATGCTCTCTGTGTGGTGGGGAGTGGACGGCCCCATCTACTGGGAACTTCTGCCCGAGGGCAAAACAATAACTGGAGACCTCTACACTACTCAACTACGAAACCTCAAGAAAGCAGTCGACCGTTCGGCCCTGAAAGACAAGAAAGTGTACTATCAACATGATAACGCTCGCCCACATGTTTCGAAACAAGTGAAGCAGGAGCTGATGGGATATGGATGGAATGTTCTCCCTCACCCCCCGTATTCTCCTGATCTTGCTCCTTCCGACTATTGGTTATTTGGCGATATGACACGTGCCTTCGAAGGAAGAAGCTTCAATTCCCGTGGAGCGGTCGAAGCGGCACTCAAACAATACTTTGCCTCACGCCCGGCTGGATTCTACCGCAATGGAATCCATAAATTGAGGGAACGTTGGAGACATGTTGTTGATAATGATGGACAATATAATTAATTATTCGGTTATTTTTTCTTTGAGAAATAAACTATTGAAAAAGTGACAAAGACTTTCCCGCCAACCTAATAGAACCCGGAGACCTTGTCGAAGAAGTTGTCGGTCTTGTAGATGTTCGCGAAAACCGATTCCGACGACTCTGATCTTTTAAGCACTGGGCGTTCTTCTTCATAATCTTCATCGGCACTCAAAGAATTCTCGTAGTCGAATTCAATGCTGAAAATGGTTTAAAATACAGTATACGTCAACAAGGTCTATTTTCAGCTGATTTTCGGCTACTTTTCAAGAGTCTGGAACTCAGTTTTCAAGTCTCCAATAACTCTAACTACAAAAAAAAACAAAATTTCCTACAACTCTGTCTAAAAATCAAATTTCCAGCCCTTCTAGGAGCCGCTTAAAATACCAGAGGCTGACGACGAGACACGCTGAGTCTCTAACCTCTCTCGTTTTCTAGACGAGCTAGAAAGTTGGTTTTTAGACAGAATTGCACGTTCAAAAATGAAATTTTTGGAATATTTATAAAAATATTTTTAAGGTATGTCTTGCACCCAAAAATTTTCAAAGTGATCGAAAACTTGACAGCCGAGCTCCAGTATCCGGGAAATGTATAATTTCAAGAATAATCCAAAATTCCATTTAAAACCCTACAATACAATCCAAAAACCAAATTTCTAGCTCATCTAGAACTCGAGATTATTTGAAGTTTTCCGAGGTTAGAGACGCATTGCGTCTTGTCGTCTGCGTCTCTAGCGGTTTCTAAAAGTGCTAGAAATGTGATTTTTGATAGAATTGTAGGAAATATTGCCTATTTTATAATTAAAACTGTTTTCAATTTTCAAAATTTTCAAAGTGATCGGTAACTTGAAAACTGAGCTCCAGACTCCGGGAAAGTGTTAAAAACTCACTCCGAAGCTAGATACGGCAAATTGAAGTCATGCTTTTGAGCCCTTTGTCCTGAATCGTTTCCGGTTTTCTGCCTGGTTTTCCCGGTGGAGCCTTCTTCTTCTTCTTCATGGTGAGCTTGGGAGGAGGAGACCCATGGAGCCGACTTCTGACGTAGATGAGCTCGGTTCTGGTCATTATGACCGAACGAATGGTCTTCTTTGGAGCTTCCTTGACCTCGGTGGTAGTGGCAAAAAGAAGAGAATAATCCAAAATTCATTAATTGTTAGGATTTTTAGAAGATTCAGCATAAATAGGGAAGAAGTGAGGGGGAGAGGGGAGGGGTGTGCATATTCAGAAGAATAAAAGGGAACCTTTCCAAATTCCACACAGAAGGATTTCTGGAAAGAACCGAATAATAGAGAATGAGAAGAATTTTTAGAAAAATAAGGGGAGCTTTCCGAATCGATTCATTTGCAGGAATCAATAGAAAACCCCCCGGACTACTGTGGCTGCCGTTCAGTCAGGATGCCGAGCGAATACAATGACATTGTTTCTTGCCAACGCACAGACACGCCTGCTCCCTCTAACCGGCAGACAACCAGAATCTGAAGGGGAAATGAGAGACGCAGAGAATCGAGGTGGGACGGGTGGGAAGGCCAGGTGGGGTGGGTAACAGAGAACGGGTGAGAAGGAGGATCCTCCTCTCTCTGTCACTTCGACAAAAAGTTATAAAACGGTCATATATGATGTGAAGAGACCCTTAAATGGGGTAATTTATGTGAAAAGACTAGCTGGGATTAGAGGAACAGGTGGGAATAATTGACCTTCCCAGGAGTCAATTTGGAGATATCGGAAGGTTGTGTCTCTCTTGGACCTTGACAAAAAATTATGAGATTGTATTTTAAAAAATTATGAGAATGTATTGAGTGCTTGTAGAGACTAGAAGTGTCTAAAGGGAAATAATGGGGAGTAAATTCTTGATAAGTTCTTGAAGAGTAAATTCTTGATAATTTGAAAGCCCCGGATAAAGCTATATAGATAAAGCATTTGATTTGAACCTTTCAAAGTTTTAAAAATGTATTTTTTTGCGAATGAGAATCAACCAATCAATAAACAAAAATATTTATTTTCAAAAAAAAACTGGCTTATTTTGTCCCACATTTTGTACCACTTCCTCTTATCAGTATTTGTCCTCGTATCCTCCGCCTTTCCATAAGGATTGAACAGAAACACTGAAAACAGGAATATACGTTACTATGCTGACATGGCCTAGAAATGGCCTAACATGCTCCTGGCTTGTTTTCTAGGTCATTTTAAAGTGGTGGCTTAACTTTTGCAAGTTTGATCTTTAAGGCCATCAAGTCAAAATGCCCTAGATATGTCTTAACATGTTCGTGGTGTGTTTTCTAGGCCTATTTTAAGTGGTGGCCTAACTTTTGCATGTTGAGTTTTCCAGGCCACCATGGTGACACGTCCTAGAAATGACCTAACACGCTCTATCTATGCTTTCTAGGTCATTTTGAAGCGGTGGCCTAGAAAACCCATCTTCAAAACAGGCCATCTTTTCAAAATGACCAAAACATAAGAACGAAAACGCATTTCTTGAAATTTTTTTTCAAGGTAATATATCTTGGAAAAAAACTTTCTAAGAATTTTTTCGTGAAATTTCTCGAAATTATTTTTTGATACATTTTGTCAGATTCTGATCTGGTTTCTCTCCGAATCTTCTTTTAAAGCCGCACAATTCTCTTTGGAATTGCCTCAAATACCTGCACGCGCAAGCGCGCCCTAGCGCACAGGCAGCGGGAAATTCCCTTTTTGCTGGATTTCTTTGGACGTTTTTCGTCATTCCTTTTGAGTGACCGTTTACGAGCAGGTGAACGTGTCAAATTGCTTACTAGGTTTTAGTTTTTAGTCTTTAGATTCCTTTCTGGAAGTACAAGTTCATGAGCAGGTGATTGTACGAAAGTTCTAGGCTTCTCTCGTTGTGTTCTTTCTGAGTCCGGGACTCTTTTGTTTCTTTTGTTTCTTTGTGTTGCCTGGGTTTGAGAATAAACCGTTAGTTTATTCTAAATTGTGTTCGTTATTTTCGTTTCTCGTTTCTCTTATACAGATTTTGGAGAGAGTTTGTGACCGAGCAAACCCTTTTTGAAATTGACTATTTTTTTCGAAAAGTTATTGTCGAAATTCTTCAACAACTTCTCGAAAAAAGGCATTTTTCGAAAAAAATTTCCCGGAAAGATGGAGGAATTGAGAAAAATGACATTTGAATATTCTCCAAAAAGTGTCCAATGGGGCGCATCTGCACCACCCGTCGCCAAAATATATTTTTTTGAAATTACTTATTTATCTTGATCTGCATCTTATTGCTTGCATTATTCTGAATTTTTTCAAGAAAATGGAATTTTCACGGCTTGGCAAAAAGCTTCGCTTTTTGTTGAGAAAACATCAGTTTCCTTAGCAAATTTCTATCAATTTTTCGAAGTTTCGTCGATCATTTCTGTCGTTTTCTTGGGCGAATTTCCTATATCAAGCGACAAATGGATGTTTTGGAACCTAAAAAATTGCCTTTTTGGGTAGTTGAACTCTAAAAAATGATTCATCGTTTCTTTTCCTTTCTTTTCTTTTTTTTTTCCAAGGCTGGTGTCCCTCTGCCTCCCGTCTATGCCACTTCCCTGATGTCCACCGGCATCTGCTGTCACACATTATCTCATCAATCTCTTCTCTATCTGCCTTTCCTTGAAACTGTGGTCTTTCATTCGGCCAGTTGACCCCTCGTCCCGCTGCTTGTGTTCGGTCCTTCGCGCGCGTCGCGGTTTTTCACTCCCACTCTGTCTCTCTATCAAGGAAAAAGTGGAAAGAGTGTGGCTTTGGAAGAGAGTGCATCTTCTTTTTCTCTCTCCAGCAGGCAAGAGACGACAGACGAACACTGCAAACGCTTTTTTTCGGGTTGCTGGGAGGTCGACCTTTTTTGCTACATTTCGTCAGTCAGTTTCTAATGGTTTATAGCATACTTGCAACGGGCCGGGCCGGGCCNAATCACAATTTTTNCNGCCCGGCCCGCCCTTTCTCAGTAAAATAAAATTTCCAATGTAAAATTGGGATATCTTACTGAATTAAAAAAGAAAAAAAGTTACATAATTTTTAAAATTATCAAGGTAGAAAGTAGTCAAAAAATATAGAGTTTTTGATTAAATTTTTGAAAAAAAGTTTAAAATTTTCGAAAAAAAAATCAAAAAAATCAGCTTATGTACAAACAGCGGGCCGGCCCGGAATTTATATTCTTGCTTCGATGCTATTAATTTCGAAATATAATTAAAATTAAATCTTTCAGTAGAATGTCGGACAACGAAAAAAAAATTGTGCTGCTGCAGACCAAAAAATCAATGAGCTGGATCCGAAATGAGCTGTTCGGTCCGATTCAAGAAGCTGCTCGCAAACCGAATCCTTTCAGTAAGTTTTTTTTCTTTTGCTGTGAATAAGGCTTCCATTATGTCGGGAAATTTAGCCGACCGACCAACCTCCGACCGAGTTGACCGATCGGACGGCACCTGACCGATTGGTCGGCGCGCCGACCGTTTTCGTGCATTTGCGCGTCAAAGTGTTTGCATACGCAGCATTGTATTTCACGACAAACTACTCACTAAATGCTTCGTTTGTTGTAAAATAGTGTTTCGTACGCAAATATAGGCATTTTGATGCGCAAAAGCACAAAATCGGTCGGCTGGGTCGGTGGTCGGTCGGCGGGCGGCGATTTTCGACCGACCGAAATGGAAGCCTTTGAAGTAAACACTGTAATAAGTTGATTCAATAAGAACAAAAAGACACAGTTCCAAAAAATTCTCTAGATTTCCAAAATCCAAAAATATCTTCAAAATCCAAAAATGTCTTTAAACCCCGATTAAAGTCTTGAACTTTTTTTCGAACCCAATTTTTTTCAAAATCCAAAAATTTCTTTGAAATCCTAAACAACCATATAGAGCCAAAACTCAATCTGCCAAAATGGTCAATGTGAACTCAAAAAACATTAGAAACATTTTTTTTCCTGATTTCTTCCTCTAGAAAATTTCATCTCCCGTTTCTACCATACCAAAAACTTCCCTCTTTTTAGCTATCGACCCAACAACATGTTGGTGCAATCTGTCGGAGCTCCGATTATGCATGCTGATCGTGGAGAACAAGCCGGTCGGCTACAAAAGCTCTTGGTGCAAACTGGACCTCATAGAACGTATGAAAACAATTTTTGATGATGAGGATCCGTCATGCAAGATTTTCTTAAGTGGTAATTCAATACTTTTCTTTATACGACTGCATATCAGAATATTTTCAGACGAGAATGAAGTCGCTTTTGACGAACAAAGAAAACAACTTGAGAGCGGAAGCACCAAGCGTTTGCTGTTCCCACCAAAGTATACGGCGCGCCCAAGTCTTCAAATGCTCGAAGACAAGTTAAATGAATGGTACAATATGAACATCAGCGAGAAGAACGAGCCAATTCCAAAGGGCGAATTCGGGTTCGGTGGCTACCACCTTCCCGCGCGTCGTCTTGCTCAAATCCCGGTAATACTATAAAAGCAAATGCGTAAAGTATTTTCATCTCTTTACAGCCCGATTACGCACCTGACGTCGAAGGTGAACATCCACTGGCATTCATGGACCGACGACAAAAAGAAGAAGAGAAACAAGACGAGCCAGAAGATGACGAAGCAGCCAAATGCAGTTCCACCGAGGCTTGAGAACTTCATTCTGCCAGGATCTTTTATTGCCGATAAATGTCTCAAACGTGTTTGATTTTCAGCATCTCTCTAACACTGTCTTTTGGAATTCCATTTCTTATCATTCTAATGTTGATCAGACTTTCCCACTTTACGAATTTTGTAATAGTTTAAACAGATTTTGAAAACGTTGAATAAATTGTTTTTTTTTTGAGTTTTCCGGTCGAGAAAGTAAACAAGAAAATAAAAGATCGGGGCAATTTGCATGTTCATAGAGAGAGAGAGTACAGGTATGTGGCTTAGAATTATCGACTGAAAGAAGACTCATGTCCTTTGTTGGTCTTGTCCAACTCGGCTTGCTTCTTTTTTTCCTTCTTTTGCTCGACAAAAACTCTTTGTAGTCGCGTAGGAAAACTTTAATGATCTTCTGATGCTGCTTTTGCCGATAAGTGAGTATTTGTTTTCCGAGCTCCGAGCAAGTGAGTTGGGCGACCTCCACGATTTTGACGAAGAGAATGTCTTCAGTGGTGGCATCATTGAAATCCACACATAGGCAATTCCCCCACGAACACATAGGCAATTCCCCCACTCATCGCTGCGACAAAGTTTCTTCCAATGGTTCCCAACACAATCGCTTTTCCACCAGTCATGTACTCCCATCCGTGACATCTCTACCAGCGTGCTGGGCAAGACATTTCTACAAGCGTGCTGGGGTCCGAAAGTCTGATATCAGAAAAAATCCTGATGGAAAAAACCCTGAAAGGTTTTCTAAATTTGAAAGTTGCTTTAAGGTTTTTGAATTCAAGCTTTTTAAATTTTTGAATTTTTTGTTTATTAGAAATTTAAAGTCCTCCCTCACCCTCTCCACTTTTTTGAAACTTCAAAACTTTAAATTTTTGGGTTTTTGAATTTAAGATTTTCAAAATTTCAGATTTTGGAAATTTGAAAGTTCAGGTTTTAAGATTTTCGAATTTTAGATTTTTAGATTTTAGATTTTTGAAATTTGAAAGTTTATATTTTTCGATATTTGGATTCAAGATTTTAGTATTTTAAAAATATGGATAATTAGAACTTAAGGTTCTTGAAATTTAAAAATTTAGATTTTTCGATTTTTGAATTTTAAATACCGTAAACACTCTGAAAGAACGCCACCTGGACCGTCCACTTTGAGTCTATGTATCTCACTTCTTTTGAAAGATGTCAAAAAGTAGTCAATTGATAAAACGTTGCTGATATCATGATGAACATTTTAGCAGTAAACAACTTTTTGATGTCTTTCAGAAGAAATGAGATACATAGGCTCAAACGAGACGGTCCTGGTTAGAGTATTTACGGTATTTAGACTTTTGAATTTTAGATATTTAAAATTTTAGGTTTTTGAAATTTAAAAGTTCAGATTTTTCGATTTTTGAATTTCAGGTACCGTAAACACTCTAATAAAACGCCACCCGGACCGTCTATTTTGAGCCCATATATCTCACTTCTTTTGAAAGATATCAAAAAGTAGTCAACTGTTAAAAAGTTGCTGGCGAAAATGGAACTAGGGCAAAAATGGACCTGAACTAGGGCAAAAATGGACCTGAAGGAGGGCAAAAATGGACCTGAACTAAGGGAAAAATGGACCTGAAGGAGGGCAAAAATTGGACCTGAACTAGGACAAAAATGGACCTGAAGGAGGGCAAAAATGGACCTGAACTAGGGCAAAAATGGACCTGAAGGAGGGCAAAAATGGACCTGAACTAGGACAAAAATGGACCTGAAGGAGGGCAAAATTGGACCGGAACTAGGACAAAAATGGACCTGAAGGAGGGCAAAAATGGACCTGAACTAGGGCAAAAATGGACCTGAAGGAGGGCAAAAATGGACCTGAACTAGGACAAAAATGAACCTGAAGGAGGGCAAAATTGGACCTGAACTAGGACAAAAATGGACCTGAAGGAGGGCAAAAATGGACCTGAACTAGGGCAAAAATGGACCTAAAGGAGGGCAAAATTGGACCTGAACTAGGACAAAAATGGACCTGAAGGAGGGCAAAATTGGACCTGAACTAGGGCAAAAATGGACCTAAAGGAGGGCAAAAATGGACCTGAACTAGGACAAAAATGGACCTGAAGGAGGGCAAAATTGGACCTGAACTAGGACAAAAATGGACCTGAAGGAGGGCAAAAATGGACCTGAACTAGGGCAAAAATGGACCTGAGGGAGGGCAAAATTGGACCTGAAATAGGACAAAAATGGACCTGAAGGAGGGCAAAAATGGACCCGAACTAAGGCAAAAATGGACCTGAAGGAGGGCAAAATGGGACCTGAACTAGGACAAAAATGGACCTGAACTAGGGCAAAAATGGACCTTAAGTAGGGCAAAAATGGACCTGAAGGAGGGCAAAATTGGACCTGAACTAGGACAAAAATGGACCTGAAGGAGGGCAAAAATGGACCCGAACTAAGGCAAAAATGGACCTGAAGGAGGGCAAAAATGGACCTGAACTAGAACAAAAATGGACCTGAACTAGGGCAAAAATGGACCTTAAGTAGGGCAAAAATGGACCTGAAATAGGACAAAAATGGACCTGAAGGAGGGCAAAAATGGACCTGAAATAGGACAAAAATGGACCTGAAGGAGGGCAAAAATGGACCTGAACTAAGGCAAAAATGGACCTGAAGGAGGGCAAAATTGGACCTGAACTAGGACAAAAATGGACCTGAACTAGGGCAAAAATGGACCTTAAGTAGGGCAAAAATGGACCTGAAGGAGGGCAAAATTGGACCTGAACTAGGACAAAAATGGACCTGAAGGAGGGCAAAAATGGACCTGAAATAGGACAAAAATGGACCTGAAGGAGGGCAAAAATGGACCTGAAATAGGACAAAAATGGACCTGAAGGAGGGCAAAAATGGACCTGAACTAAGGCAAAAATGGACCTGAAGGAGGGCAAAATTGGACCTGAACTAGGACAAAAATGGACCTGAACTAGGGCAAAAATGGACCTGATGGAAGGCAAAAATGGACCTGGAGGAGGGCAAAAATGGACCTGAACTAGGGGAAAAATGGACCTGAAGGAAGGCAAAAATGGACCTGAAGGAGGGCAAAAATGGACCTGAACTAGGACAAAAATGGACCTGAAGGAGGGCAAAAATGGACCTGAATTAGGTCAAAAATGGACCTGAAAGAGGGCGAAAATGGACCTGAAGCTCCTTGCCCTCTTTCAGGTCCATTTTCGCCCTCTTCCAGGTCCATTTTCGCCCTCTTCCAGGTCCATTTCTGCCCTCTTTCGGTTTATTGAGTTCAATGCCTTTCAATTTCTCTGTCTTCTATCTCTCCCTTTACTGTTCACAATGTCTAATCTCTGTTCTCATTTGCGAAATAAAAATTTACAGAACAAAAAATTATGATATGACCTTTATAAGATCGAAAGAACAAAGCTTTGGAAGCAAGAGGAACCAGAAAAAAAACGATCACAAATTACAATGAAAGTTGGGGAGACGCAGAAATTGAAGCAAGAAAAAGCAAATGCATCATCGAAATTTGCAAGAAAAACAGAGAGGAGAACCGAATGATTCATTGACTGGATACTGTAGCTAACATTTTTCAATTTCGAATTATTTGTAGATCAATACGAGTTCTCTGAGGAGACCAGTTCTGTTTATCTCATTTCAGTACTGCTCTGCTGGAAATTAATAAAATAATTGCCGAAAATTGAAAAAAAAAAGACTCACTCAATGAACGGAACGAGTCTCTTCCTCGATTTTTGATGAAGAACAGCTGGCGAATGCTGAGCGGCTTTCTTCTGATACCCTGTGGAACATGGTGACCATTGATCAGATGAAAGAAGTATTCTTTGAGATCTGAAAATGTTAATGATTGGGGCGCCAAAAGTAAATAGCTCACCAATTCCATCAAAAGTTTGATCTCTTCCGTTCCAGTTGTTCCAATATTCCAGAGCCTCTTCAAACGAGTCAACAGACCTTGGAGATGGCGCATTTGATGACGATGTTCCATAATGAGTGAGTGGTCCAGGTGATGTTGTAGTCGGTGCTGGAAATAGGCGTCTTTCGAAGAACTCAACTTGCAAAGGTTATGCCACCATGTAAAAACGACCTAGAAAGCACACCAGATCAAAATTTTCTCCCCCGGTGGTCACGCACACACACAAACACACACACACACACACACACAAACACACACACACACACACACACACACACACACACACACACACACACACACATTAACAAAAGAGAATAGTACAAGTTCGCAAAGCTCTCGGAAGTTGAAACTCGGAATCTGGAATTCTTCGGCGAGAGGAAATCACACATGAGGTTTAGGGTGAATTGAATGAACACAGACACACTAAGTGAATATAATAAGTGCATTTATTTCTAGCCCATATACCCTGATGGCAGAGACAACTGAGTTGCAAAAATTAGAACATCATGGTGAATGACCTAGAAACCTAGAGAAGACATCAGCTTCATGTCAGACGATTTCTGAGCTATCATTATGGAGACCTAGAAAAAGCATGCTGATAAAGGTATGTCACTCAATATGTCTTACATGAAATCAGATTGTGTGCATTTCGACATAATATTCAAAAAAATTCAAAAGTTTGGTAGCTTACCTCACTGATTGTATATTCTGCACCAGTAGTTCTTCCAATTTTCTTCGGTGTTTAGTAAGATAAATTTTCAAAAAAAAAACCATTTATTCATAGTGTTTCTTGAAAGTTTCGAGGAATAAATAAGTTTGGAAGAGGGAATACTCAGAAAAATAAAGGAAAAACTTCAAATCGATTCATATATAGGATTCTGAAGAATTCCTGGGGAGACGTCTATTCAGAAAGTCGTCATGTGAGAGAAATGAAGAGGTATGTGAGGAGAAGTGTTACGATATCAAAACGCTCACTGTTTCTCTGCGTCTACTCCATTCACTGTACTCTCTACTATCTATGAATCACTATTGAATTTCTCTGTGTCTACCGAGTCGCTACTCTCTCTGGAAAACGGAAAAAATTTCTAATGTTTACTTTAGGGTCATCAGACTGAACTGAGATAGATGTGAGACATACATTGTATTTGTATTGTATTGTATTTATTACGTTTAAAAACGTGGATAAAAGAATGAAAAGAAAAAAATAAAGGAGAGGGAGGGGAGGGTGACATAGAAAAAGGGGAAAAAAACTAATGCTACTCATAATAATCAATCTGGGGAACAAAAATCAAATCAAATAACGTCTCGGTGAGCGTCTTCAAACTCCGTTTTTTATGGAATTTACCATTTTACTGAGCACTCTATTTGTGAACAAGTTTCTTTTAATTTTAGTTTTAGGAACCTTTCAAAAGTATGTGCGTTGGCTACGGGTTTTTGTTGCATATGCATGGGAAAGTCACGTGCCACGTCATAATGGCCCAGTTTCATTCACTTTACCGGGTTCCAAAAACATGCTGACATTCGTCACCACTCCATTTGGTCGAATTCTAGCAAATTTGGAAATTACTATTATATTACTCTGAAATTCTATTGGGGATCTGCAAGCTTTAAGGCTGACAATCAACAAATTAATCTGATTCCGCGGTTCACATCCTTGCTTTTAGTTTCTTCCTTCCTGTTCGGAGGACGGTATTAATCTGGCTTCCTTTGATTCACCCTAAACCTCAGGTGTTCGTTATCTATCATATTTTGATTATTTTCTTCTTCACATGTCATCTGATGACGTAAAAAGACACAAAAATGTGAAAAATAGGCGGGACAATTGTGAACAAGCTTAGCTTTGGGTGAGATTTGCTAAACCTGGTCCCCGTTTCTCCCTTCATTAGGTAACATAAAGTCAGTTTTTTTTAGTTTCTTTCGTTTTTGTGTTTTTTTATGTTTTCATTTCCTTTTGCCGAAGAATTCCAGATTCCGAGTTCCGAATTCCAAATTCCGCCTTCTGAGTTCTGTGATCTAAATTCCACTTTCCGAGTTTCGAATTTCATATTCCGAGTTTCACCTTCCGCCGCCAACCGAGTTCCGAGTTTTATATTCCGAGTTTTGAGAGACATTAATCTAACTTTGTGAACTTGTAATATTCTCCTCAGCCTAATTTTTTTTGGTACACAAGAACGAAATTCAATAATTTTTATTAATTCAAAATGTGAAAATTACCGGGGAATTGAAAATATTATATAATAATAGAAAACTCAATACATTTTTATTGTCCAGCAGTCCTTTTCCTTTTCCGATTCTCTCTGTCCAGTTGATTTTTGCTCGGAGCTCAACAGTGTTTCTTGACGTTCATGAACATTTCTAAAAAAGTGATCTATTTTTTCACAAATTTCTGATAAATCTTACTGTTGACGTTCAACACATATTGGATTGAGTCGATTTATGAAGGAGGTGGAGGTGGCTGGATCCCTTTGGCATGATTTGCCACATCCACGACAAACTTCAGCGTTTCGAGCTGGAAATTTCTAATGTCTTTCAAAATATTTTGAATATGTTCCATTTTGGGTACGCTTTCTAGTTTTAAGTTTTTGAACAAATTCAAAATACTTATAATTTTTGAAGAATATTGAAAAAAAACTGACCCTTTTCTTCGGGAAAAATCAATAATGAAAGAAATTTTCAAGATTCCGTTCATTTATAGGATTTCTTGAAAGTTTCTATTAATAAATAGATTTAGAAGAGGAAATATTCAGAAAAATAAGGGAAAAGAATTCCCGGGGAGACGTCTATTCAGTAAGTCGTCATGTAAGAGAAATGAAGGGGTATGCGAGGAGCGGGGCCACGATTTCGAAACTCTCACTGTTTCTCTGCGTCTACTCTATTCACTTTACTCTCTACCATCGATGAATCACTATTGAATTTCTCTGCATCTCTCAAGTCGCTACACTCTCTGAGAAACAAGAAATTATTTCCAATGTTTACTTTGAAGTCATCCCACATAAGCATGGGAGAGTTAAAGAAGACGTCTACTACGGTGTCCTGTTTAACAGTCGACAATATTTCGATAGCTTTCATATGAACCTAGATAATTGAGATCAAGTTTAGGCTTTTGTGACAAAATATCGTTTGGGCGTCATGACATGAGAAGTTTTGAGCTTAGTTATTTATTCCTGTTCATATGCGGTGTATAAGAAAAATGACAACTGACGAAATGTTTGGCACAAGATCATTATTATTTTAAAAGTTGACAATATTATGGTAGCTCTCATAAAAACCTAGGTAATTGAGAGATTTGAATTAACACTTTTAAGACTTCGGAAACATATAAAAATTCACTTTTCGTTGCGAATTCTTCATTAAATTACTCATAAAATCCAGAGTAAGCACTAATATGTAGTTCACAAAAACGGGCTGTCTATCCGAAAATCAGACTCTTTGTCCTTCTTTATTGTTTTTATAGAAAATATTCCGGTCTCCCCGAGAAAAAAATTTGATTCATCCAGTTTTTGTTCGGTAGTGATCGCGAATTTAACAAAAGTTCCAAAATCAGAGGGATCACAAGAAACTCTTATTGTCCTGAAAATTTTCAAGTTTTCCGAGAGACCCGAACATTATCTCCTGATCCTGCCAGAAACCAAATTTATGATAAATCAGCTGATTTCTATTAATTATTCTCCGAACCAGAGCATCTGAAAATTGTGTCCCTCTTTTCAGTCACATGACAGAATCCACTTAATTTTCTATGCATTTTAGTTTATTGCCTCGCCGGATAACCCCAGCGAAGCGGATCCAAAAATTAGATTAGTGTTCAACACATTCTTTCGAATGGTCGGAACTCCAGCGTACCTTGAGTAACTGGGTTAAAACCGATGATAGCAGCAATACGACGCCTCTTATGTATTTCTTTGTACCGACATCAATCGAGGTCCGCGTCGGCCACAAGAGAGCGCGCGTTTGAATAGACGCAGACATGCGAGGTAGTGTGAAGAGACGGCAGACGAGGAAAGAAAAGGGAGAAGTAGTGGAGTGGGAGAAAAGGGGGAAGGGAGAGAAGGAAAATTTGGAGCGGGGGAAATTGGGAGGTTGTTGGTTCAACTCCGTGCACGGCTATTTTTCTCAGTTTCTTTTTTTTTTTTGGTTTTTTTGTGTGCTGATATAGTACTGTAGATATAGCATAATCATTTTTATTTCAAGCCTTTTTTGTATTGTTTAGACTTAAAATGTGATATCGAAGAAATTTATTTCATGAAATATCTACAACTGGTGCAAAATTTTTCAATTTTGATTCTCAAAATATTTAATTTGTGTGATAACACTGTCAATTGTTAGTTTTATCTAAAAAAATAACTGTTTTCTTTCAAGACTTCAAAGTTTGACGCATCGTCTGCATATCCCCAAGGGTGCTAACTTCAAAGGCACATAACTCAAAAACTACCACCTAACAATTTCTTGACGCTGGAACGCCTGTAGAACTTTACGCACCTCTGGTTGTGTTAAGAATCATCTGAAAAACTTACTAAAATGCAGAACGTGAAGAAAACGACATACAGAAAAAAACATACAAATCAGCCACCCTGTATAATCTTATACAGAGACTTGACCCTTTTTACCCATTTATATTTTTTCGAATTTAGGTTTTCCCAATTTTTCAATTTTATTTTTCATTGTCTAAGTTAATTCTGATTTACTAAGTTTTGATATTAAATAAAATTTCATAAACATGACGTTTTTTTTCGTCACACTTGTCAGGATTTTCAGGGTGTTAGTGGAAAAAACCCCTACCGTTTTCCTTGAACCGTTAACTCTCTTATTATCCAATCAAGTGAAGCATTTTGGTTTCACCAACATTCTAAAACATTTCTCAGCCTGCTCAAACTATTGTATTCTTCGCCAAAGTGTTTTATTACCTACCGCGACCATCATCTCGTACCAAGATGATCATAAAATGCCTCTCTGAGTCTCACTGAAACGAAACCCTAACACGTGGAGCGGGCACCGTGCCAGTACTTCAATATTTTTATCACCATCTTCATCTCTTCCTATCTTGTAATATTTCCTCTTCTCTATTTTTCTCTGGGTTTTTGTAGCCCTCTGGTTCCTACGAAAACTGAATATATATTCATTCTCTCCGGTGGCCGCTATGCAATGGCTGTGTCGTTGAATAGCGGTCTCTCAATGAAGACTTCACTGAAAAGACTTCTCCCTCACTTTATTTTTCTGTAATTTTTGTTTTCTGTATTTATTTAATGAAGACCTAGCTGCATGGACTTCTCCCCTACCTTATTTTTTTGAAACGTTTTGTATTCTCTATTTATTCACTAAAAACCTGACTGAATGGAGTTCTGAATATTTAGTATTTTACTGAAATTTTTTCTTAATGAGAGAAAACGAGAAAAGGGTTGGTGAGTCTGCTTTTTGTTTTCTAAATTCGCATTTCTTGGAAATGTTTAGGAATCTGTTGTATTGCAAACATTTGTCAAAAAAAACTCAAAACTAACAAAAATTTCGAACTTATTGTACAATTTCTTCCGGAACTTGAGCTCAATTATCTCAGTTTTTACTTGAAGATTTTGAACCTGTAAACAACAAGAATGATCAGGATAACTGAACTTAAGTGTGTCATTGGAGCATGCAGACTACTTGCGATTCTTAAGTTCACTGTATTTTTTTTTCATAATAAGACAAGGCTCTGGAAATGCCTGCTCTCTGCTCACATTCGCCACCTTTGCATCGGACTCGGTTAGAATATGAAGAAGTCATAGCTCACCAAAAGAAAAATCAAAGCTGAAAAGTCTCAACTGGAGAGAGAAAATGATGTGAGTTAATTTATTATACATAATCGACCTAATTGTTTTTCTCTAACTACGTAATGCCGTTTTAATTTCAGCTACAAATACTCATTGATTCGTGGATTCGTCATGGATTCGTCTCAGCTCTGCAACCATCACCTTCCAGACGTCGAATCGAAGATCATCTCCTCCAAGAGGGCTTTTTTTGCACCCAACTAACAACGGATATAATAACTTTCAAGGGTAATGTAAGGTAAATTATATGATCAACCTAAAACAATGTTTTTTTCAGTTACGTGATGCTCTTCGAACCGCTTGTGAACAAGAAACGGACATTGCAACGATTCTCCAACTACACTGCCCAAGTTTTTTCAATAATTCAAAAAACCTTATTTTTTAAAGTTTTGTAATTTTTTAATCTTAGTAACTTTTTAGTATTAATGCATTCAATGTTCTCTTTTTCAATTTCCCATGTATGTCAAGAATCTCTTTAAAAATTTTAACGAATTTTTAATCGAGATTATCTGTTATTATTTATAAAATGATTGTATACCACCTGAAACATATCTTCAAAGCTTTCAAAAATGTGTCTGCTGATTTTCGCAAAGCGAATTTCTATAGATAAAAATTGTTTCCGCCTTAAAAAGGAAATTCGAAGAAAAACTTAACTTGCTAAAACCCAAATCGCGTCCGCTGTCTTCACTGGCGTCTTATGTGTGAGCACAAAAACAGAAGGAAAAAGAAGGAGACGCAGAGAGAACGTTGACGCAGTTTGAGGGCGCATAGTATTGGTTTTGCTATTTTCTATGAATTTTTGCATTATTAGAAAGTTGTTTATCAAATTTCTTACAGAAAAGAATATCAAACTGATGAAATGGTAGATCGGCATGCCAGTGATCAATTTTTCGAGCGCTTATCCTACGATCTGAAAGCAAATAAATGAATAAATCCAGGTGAGTATTTCTTTTCTGAATATTTAATAGAAAATCGGTGTCAAAAGTGTCAAAACACAACAAATTATTTTCAAAGCGAACATCAAATCATGAAAAACTATTTTCAACTGAAAAATTTCTTTGCAGGCCTTCACGATTCGAACCATCGATGAATGATGCAATCGTAGAATTCATGAGTTGGACAGATAAGATTAGAATCACATGGACATACGGACCACATTTGAGCTGTTGTTCGGCTTTCTGATCGATAGATGGAAGATGAAGAAACGAAATTAGCACTAATCGTGTTAGCCGCTGGATATGTTCGCGCCGCATTTAGCTATCTGTTCCGGCTTGGGCCCAAGACACTGGCATCGTAGTTGCCAGCAAACCAGAAGACGGCATCTAGAAGGTGGAGAACGAATTTCTACGGGTGACTCGACATTGTGAAGTGGTGAAGACTGAAGAATGTCCAATGTTATGGTCACAAAGTGAAAACCTGAAGAAAACGAGAGCTCACGATAACAACTATTTGGCGAGTTAATCAATCACTGTACCTGGAAACTACAAACTCTACATGTTTGGTGGGATTGAGTGCTTCGCGAAAACAATATTTCATGGTGAGTAGAATTTCCGAATTGTTCTCATTTTTGACCAAAAAGTTTCCAGCTAGTGACCTTCGGCTAGGCAGACTTCTGGAGAACGTCCTGAGAGCTACTCTCTTCCCTCTTCTCATTGACCAGTGCTCCTTTATTCACTGAGCATTGCGATTTGAACTGATTCTGGAATTGAATGCAAGGCTTCGATACGACGTAAAACAGGAAAACCTTAATGTAAGACTAGCACTGAAACAACTCACAGTACCTCTTCTAATATGTGTCCCACTACGCCTCTGTAAATGCGGTTCCAACCGATGATGCTGAGATTAACACGGGATTTAGACTGTACCAATTTTCATTTTTAGTATTTCAAATATCAAAACAAATTTACCATGAAAAAAGATTTTTTCAAGGAAAGACTTAAAATATTAAAGGATGTTTTCTAGAAGAGATTATACAATTAAGACTGATATGAGCTTCTGAGAATGAGAAACATGTGGATTAAAAACAATCAATGAATAAAACGCATACACAGGAAATGACAGTAAAGAGTGTTCCGGACAAATTCTTATAAAAGAAAACACTCAGTTACATCAATAGAAATATATACTTTCATCAAAATTTGTCAATGAACAACTTCCATGGCTAGAAACAGCAGATCTATTCAGTCACTTTTTCAAATTTTGGTCCCATTGTTGGCGCTTGCTGATGTATTCGGAAACCTGACAAACAAAAAAAAAGTTGTAAAATACATCTGACTAAACTCACAATTGCTGAATCGATTTCCAACAAATCTGCAACCTGTTGAGACGTCTCTGGATGATGCAGAAGCCGAGCTCGTTGACCAAGATATTCATTTTCAAGCTCTTGAAGTTTTTTTGGGAGATCATCGAGTTGAATTGATCCTTCCATATACTTATCGAGAATTTGAGCGTGATACTCACGAATCCATTGAGCAATCTTAAAAGTTCATGTTGGTCTGTTAGGAGTTGAATGAAATGTTTAATTGAAATTTAGAACGTTGTCAAAAAAAAAAAACGAACCTGTTCTGGTGTCAGATGAAGGACTGTCGAGTAGTGATGAGTTCTGTTTCCAGCCATAAACGGATCTGTTCGGAAGAGGAAAATCAAAAGATCTTTTGTGTTCTGGTCCACAACAACTGGAGTTAGAGTTGAAGTTTGTGATTGAAGACCCTTCACGTCTTTTTTAGATGTTGAGGAAGAAGGAATATCCACAGCGGTATGCTGCTCCACAACTGCTGGTTTGACTCGAGTTTCATGTACACATAAGCCTGGATTTTCCAACAATATTTTTTCAACGCAGCCTTCAAAGTGCGTGGCACTTTTGAACATCTTCTCCTCATCAAAATTGACAGAAGCCGGTAGTGACGACTTTTGTGAGCCATTTTCAGCTGGCTTCTCAGCATCAGTTTCAGAAGAAGGATAATTTTCTCTCGATTTCATACTCCTTCGGAAAAACAAAGCAGGATGGTCAAACTCTTCCATTTCATCATCCGCTTCCAATTCTCGCTTTTTGGAATTAAACTTCTTGTTGCATCTCTCTTCATAGTCGGAGTCTGCGTACAGGTCCAACATCGAGTAGCCTGTTTTTCGAGCTTTTCTCGGTTTTCTCGGCTTTCTTGGAAACTGAAAAAAGTGTCAAGTAGAAAAGAGGCCATATCAGATGTGTTAAAAGGGAATTCAGCTTTTCTTGCTTTGAATTATATACAACTTACCTTTTTAGAACGTTCGTCGTCACTATCAGAAATGGAATGAGTGTCGAGCCTAGACATCGCTCGTTTTCGACATCTTCTCGGCTTTCCTTGTGCACTTTCGCAATTGAAACCTTTCATTTCTGGCGGTGGTGTGCTCAGGATGCTTAGGTTTCTATCATTCTCGGTATCATTCTCTGATTCGGATTTCTGCTTCCCCACAGATGGTTCAGATTCTACGGATCTTTTTGGTGTAGTCTTGCAAGTTTTGTCTAACGATGTTGCCAAGGATGGATGGTCTTTGGGACGGCCGACAGGACGTTTGGCGGGCAGATCAGGTTCCGGCGAGAATATTTTCTTCCTCATTCTTCTTCCGCGTGGCGAAACTGGTGGCAGAAGTCGTTGGAAAACAGAGGCACCTGACTGTGATGGAATAGTCCTTCTAGAAGTTCTACTGTAGTGCTGAATAATATAGGGACACCCTTCAACTGTTAGCTCTGATCCAATTTATCTCGATAACTGGAAGAAATATCAAAAAGTGGTCAATCAACAAAGTGATAACGTAATATCAAACTTCAAAGTATCAAAGTGGAAATGTTCTGATATCTTTCACGGTAACCGAAATAAAATAGCTCAAAGTTCCTGTAAGGGGCCGTTCTGTTCAAACATTCGCGGTAATTTTTATTCAGAATCAGAGATTAAACTAAAATTGATTTTAACTGGAAAAAAACCCTTACTGATTTATTGGATGGTGGGCGCCCAACGGGTCGTTTTTTGATCCGTGGATTGGGGGAGTAGGAAACTCTCTTGCAATTTCCGGAGACTCGTTTAGTAGACCTGCGTGAAGGTGTTTCATAGTGAAGCAAGTTGTCGAGAAACTGATTTGTTGACGAAGATTGATTCGATATCTGTAATTTTCAATTTTTTGTTGACGAAGATTGATTCGATATCTGTAATTTTCAATTTTTTGTTGACTGATTTTTGTTGAATGAAAATACTTCGTTTTGTTTTAATTGATACTTACCGGTGCGATAGCTGAAATTGTCTGATCATTGGAAACTGGATCCGGCATGTCCATCAGTTGTACCCCTGCCGGGCATCTGAAATTTTGAAAACTAGAGTTTCGAAAACTGATTTAACTTGAAATATGAAGAAATCAGGAAATACAGTAGTTTCTATACAAGACACTCGGTGTTTATCTGGCTACGATGTTTGGGTAGAAAAAAGTGGGTGAGTGACCAGCAGGGCTAAGCATAAAACGTGTTTAGAAGTGCTTTTTTTGGGTTTTCTGTGAACATTTTTGAACGGAAAAAAATTTCTTACGGAAAAAAATGTCTAAAAACATTTCGGAGCTAAAAATCAAAAATTTTTTTTCTTTTTTCAAAATTTTTTTTTCGGTATGAAAATAAACAGTAATAAAAGATTGTAAAGAACAAACATAAGACGCTAAAATCTCAATCGATCATTTCGAAAAACAATGGGAGGAGGCACAATGGAGATGAAGAGACGAAGAAAGAAAGGTACTCATTCTGCAAACACCGTCACGCAACCGTACGGACTAATGAGACGGTCAAACGAGAACAATAAAAACACGTAGAGAATTACCCCCTTTCTCCTATTGGCCAAAATGCAGAGAGTTCTGTAAAAAGCGGACTTTGAAGAAAAAAAATTATCAAAGAGACATGAATGATACAAGGGAAATTACTAATCAAAAAAAAAGATAAAGCATCATCGTAATGAAAAAAAAACAAAACTTTCGGGAAAAGATAAAAGGGTCAAACAGAAACGAAAGAAGCAGGTGGCAGATGCATATGACAATACACAAACTGAAGTGGGGAAGATGGGTTCAGGTTGGATGGGGTCAAAAACCTGACAGAAGTGTAGAATGAGAGAATTCAAAATACACACCCCCAGGCTCAATGTCCCTATATTTTAAAATGAAAGCTTGCGTTATGTCAATTTTCGGAAAAATTGTCCCAGGGAAGTGTGACACTTAGGAAGTTTATAATACTGTTTCCAGTTTGTGGAAGATCTAACACGACTGCTCCATTAGCGCATTTGCGCTCCGCCGCACTTTCTCGTGTACTCCCCGAGGACAACTGAAGATTTCTTTATTTGCAATAACAATATTGAGTTAATTCAGTCATATTTTCTAGTATTCTCTCGAAAATTCATATTAAAAAGGTTGGTAATTACAAGCAGATTTTTTTCAAATGAATGTGTTGCAGCGGAGGGTAAATCTAAGGCAATACTGGACATATTTTAGTCAAAAATCAAGCTGAAAAGTCTTCTTTTTCTAGCGGTGTTTGACTTAGCTGCCATATGGGTTGAAGACTATCCTCACGAGCTGAGATGGGAACTTTTTCGCCCAATTTCTTGAAAAAATCTCTGTAAAAGTCAAAAATCAAGCTGAAAAGTCTTCTTTTTCTAGCGGTGTTTGACTTAGCTGCCATATGGGCTGAAGACTATCCTCACGAGCTGAGATGGGAACTTTTTCGCCCAATTTCTTGAAAAAATCGCTGTAAAAGTCAAAAATCAGGCTGAAAAGTCTTCTTTTTCTAGCGGTGTTTGACTTAGCTGCCATATGGGCTGAAGACTATCCTCACGAGCTGAGATGGAAACTTTTTCGCCCAATTTCTTGAAAAAATCGCTGTAAAAGTCAAAAATCAGGCTGAAAAGTCTTCTTTTTCTAGCGGTGTTTGACTTAGCTGCCATATGGGCTGAAGACTATCCTCACGAGCTGAGATGGAAACTTTTTCGCCCAATTTCTTGAAAAAATCGCTGTAAAAGTCAAAAATCAAGCTGAAAAGTCTTCTTTTTCTAGCGGTGTTTGACTTAGCTGCCATATGGGCTGAAGACTATCCTCACGAGCTGAGATGGAAACTTTTTCGCCCAATTTCTTGAAAAAATCGCTGTAAAAGTCAAAAATCAAGCTGAAAAGTCTTCTTTTTCTAGCGGTGTTGACTTAGCTGCCATATGGGTTGAAGACTATCCTCACGAGCTGAGATGGAAACTTTTTCGCCCAATTTCTTGAAAAAATCGCTGTAAAAGTCAAAAATCAAGCTGAAAAGTCTTCTTTTTCTAGCGGTGTTTGACTTAGCTGCCATATGGGTTGAAGACTATCCTCACGAGCTGAGATGGGAACTTTTTCGCCCAATTTCTTGAAAAAATCGCTGTAAAAGTCAAAAATCAAGCTGAAAAGTCTTCTTTTTCTAGCGGTGTTTGACTTAGCTGCCATATGGGCTGAAGACTATCCTCACGAGCTGAGATGGGAACTTTTTCGCCCAATTTCTTGAAAAAATCGCTGTAAAAGTCAAAAATCAGGCTGAAAAGTCTTCTTTTTCTAGCGGTGTTTGACTTAGCTGCCATATGGGCTGAAGACTATCCTCACGAGCTGAGATGGAAACTTTTTCGCCCAATTTCTTGAAAAAATCGCTGTAAAAGTCAAAAATCAGGCTGAAAAGTCTTCTTTTTCTAGCGGTGTTTGACTTAGCTGCCATATGGGCTGAAGACTATCCTCACGAGCTGAGATGGAAACTTTTTCGCCCAATTTCTTGAAAAAATCGCTGTAAAAGTCAAAAATCAAGCTGAAAAGTCTTCTTTTTCTAGCGGTGTTTGACTTAGCTGCCATATGGGTTGAAGACTATCCTCACGAGCTGAGATGGAAACTTTTTCGCCCAATTTCTTGAAAAAATCGCTGTAAAAGTCAAAAATCAAGCTGAAAAGTCTTCTTTTTCTAGCGGTGTTTGACTTAGCTGCCATATGGGCTGAAGACTATCCTCACGAGCTGAGATGGAAACTTTTTCGCCCAATTTCTTGAAAAAATCGCTGTAAAAGTCAAAAATCGAGCTGAAAAGTCTTCTTTTTCTAGCGGTGTTTGACTTAGCTGCCATATAGGCTGAAGACTATCCTCACGAGCTGAGATGGGAACTTTTTCGCCCAATTTCTTGAAAAAATCGCTGTAAAAGTCAAAAATCAAGCTGAAAAGTCTTCTTTTTCTAGCGGTGTTTGACTTAGCTGCCATATGGGTTGAAGACTATCCTCACGAGCTGAGATGGAAACTTTTTCGCCCAATTTCTTGAAAAAATCGCTGTAAAAGTCAAAAATCAAGCTGAAAAGTCTTCTTTTTCTAGCGGTGTTTGACTTAGCTGCCATATGGGCTGAAGACTATCCTCACGAGCTGAGATGGAAACTTTTTCGCCCAATTTCTTGAAAAAATCGCTGTAAAAGTCAAAAATCAAGCTGAAAAGTCTTCTTTTTCTAGCGGTGTTTGACTTAGCTCTCATATGGGCTGAAGACTATCCTCACGAGCTGAGATGGGAACTTTTTCGCCCAATTTCTTGAAAAAATCGCTGTAAAAGTCAAAAATCAAGCTGAAAAGTCTTCTTTTTCTAGCGGTGTTTGACTTAGCTGCCATATGGGCTGAAGACTATCCTCACGAGCTGAGATGGGAACTTTTTCGCCCAATTTCTTGAAAAAATCGCTGTAAAAGTCAAAAATCAGGCTGAACAGTCTTCTTTTTCTAGCGGTGTTTGACTTAGCTCTCATATGGGCTGAAGACTATCCTCACGAGCTGAGATGGGAACTTTTTCGCCCAATTTCTTGAAAAAATCGCTGTAAAAGTCAAAAATCAGGCTGAAAAGTCTTCTTTTTCTAGCGGTGTGTGACTTAGCTCTCATATAGGCTGAAGACTATCCTCACGAGCTGAGATGGGGACTTTTTTGCCCAATTTCTTGAAAAATCGCTGTAAAAGTCAAAAATCAGGCTGAAAAACTGATACGAAAAATGGGCGAATTGTCGGGAAGCTTCACATTATGAATTGCGAAGGTCCAGTGCTGGTTGTTTGTGGTAACTCTGAAAATTACTCATTTTCACCCAAAAACTAGTTATGGAGTGATTTTCGTATCAAAAGCTGTGGTTTCCAACACGATTAGCTTGCCTCCATGATTTCTGATTTTCAAAAAATTGTTCGTAGATTTTTAACAAACCAGAAAAGATGAGTAACTTGAAGTTTTTTAATATTTAAGATGACATGTAGCTAGTGCCACAAATTTATTTCGCTATACATTCCTAATGAATGTGGTCTAAGAACTGTTTGTATTTCCTAGCAGTCGTTGTTCTCTGAAAACTCCTTATGATTTCTTGTCAATTCTCAGCACTTTCATATCGGTGTTTTCCCAGTTGTCAATAAATGCTGCTTTTTTTTTAACAACTCGATCAATAAATATACTGATCATTTTGAAATAAACAGTTCACATCTTTTTTCTCTCAGAAATTTAGGAAAAATATTTAAAAAAAAACAATTTTCGAGTAAAAGCTTTTTTTCACAGATAGATAGTGAAAGTGCGCTCTACTACACTTAAACGTTGTTCGTGAAATTTCCGCCCTGCTTTTTAATGGCTTTCTTTATTTTCTTTCAAAAATATACTAAAATTAAGTTTTAGATGTCACGTCGTCAGGCGAGAAGCGAAGACTGCCGGTACTTTGCAAATGGAACGTGTTCAAAGGGAAACGCGTGCACGTGAGACAGTTATCATGAAAATTATCAAATTTTCGGTGGTTTTTCAGATTCAGGCATGAAGAGACAACACGGAGAAACAATATTTGCCAATTCCATTTGGCTGGGAAGTATGTAAATAGGGGAGAAACTGCTGAAAATTTGCTGGAAATCAAAAAAAAAATGAAGGGCATCTTTTTTTTTGCTCGAAAATAACAAAAAAAATTCAAAAAAAAGAGCTTTATAAATGAAAAATAAATCGTTTCTCAGATGTACATTCGGTGAAGTATGCCGCTTCAAGCATGTCGAGCTTTCTCAACACTCCAAATCCAGTAGATTCAATGTGGAAGCGCCAGCTTTCGTGCCCAGTTGGCTGAAGAAGCCAATACCTTCTGGTTAGTTTCATCAAACGAGAATACAAAGAAAAATGTACCCAAATAGCGAGTGAATTCAGTTTCCATCATCCTAAGATCGATTTTTTTCAGAATCATCTTCAATGTTACACTCATTGCTTTCAAGCTTAAATGACCAATCCACGTCGTCGTCAGCAGCCATACCAGATCAGATGTGTTCAGATCACGAGAGAACTGGAAATTGTGAAAGCAGGAACGTGAGCTGCGCCTTCCTTCATGGCGATTACTGTGATTTGTGCAATCATTGGTGTCTGCATCCATTCGATCAAGATTTGCGACAAAAGCATCACCAGGTGTGTTTTTGTCTCGTCTCCTTTCATGTTTTCAAAAACAAAAATGAAAAGGCTCGAAAATTTAATTGAAAAAAACAACTTTTAAAAAAATTTATTATTTTCCAGGAATGCACCGCGAACCATCTGGCCGAGATGGAAAAAGCTTTTTTGATAAAAGAGTCCGAGGAGAAATCGTGCGGAATTTGTATGGAGAAAATTTTGAAGAAAAATAAGCGATTCGGGATATTGAACGGATGCCAGCATTGTTTCTGTTTGGAGTGTATCCGCAGATGGAGATCAAGAGACCAGCAAGCGTTGATGGCCACTGAAGTCGTGAGGTCCTGTCCAGAGTGCCGTCAACATTCGGACTATGTGATCCCCTCGATATTTTGGGTCGAAAAAAAAGAGGAGAAAGAGCTGCTCATCAATATGTACAAGGATAACATGAAAACGAAAATTTGCAAGTATTATGAGGTGAGTTGACGTCTGATAATAGACTAAATTACGTTTTTTTCTTACAGAACAGACGACGAGGATTCTGCAAGTTTGGCAACAAGTGCTTCTACAAACATCAACTTCCAGACGGAACTGTTGATCCAGGTATCAGAAAAAAAAACAAAAAATGCATTCAGAAAACACAAAACTTGGCATAAGTCGCCCTGAAAATTGTTTGAGTGCACACTGTAATTTAAATCTGTTTCAATCAGTTTTAAAGTTTTTGAAAGCAAATAATCGAGACGCAGACTATATACTATAGACTATAGAAAATAAAACTAAACCAGTTTCAATTTTTCAGGGAAGTCTCCGCAGACTAGACGCCGTGAGCGTCTTTTCGATTTTTTTGTTCCCTATGAAACCGATTCTGATGATTCGGATGATGATACGGTCTACAATGAAAATGGGGTACCATGGATGGGAGTCGCTATTCCCAGTGATTCTCCTCCAATTGAAGACAGGGAGTCAGAAACGCCGCCCTCAGCACATTTCTTCAGATTCTTAGCTGGTATGACTAGACTGTTGCAAGAGACAAGAGACGATGATGACGAAGTGGACGATCCTATGATCGATATGTTTTGATTAGAATTATCGATAATTCCATTTTTCGCATCCGTGCCATGAGTGTTGCCAATCGTTGAGCCATGATAGTCGGAATTGTTTGTCAACCCGATTTTCGTCTTCAAAACTTTGTTCCCAGTGCTTATATTTTCCTGCTTGAAAGCATGAAGCCGATGATTTTCCTATTTTCATTTTTTGTATTTGTTGCTTATCAATTTTCAGTTTTTCCTGTGCCTAGATTAAATTCAAGCTTACTGTCGTATTTTTACAATTTCATGAAAATAATAAAGTGTACTCCATACCGACAAGCAACCCTCCGATTGTAGCAAGGAATAAAACAAGTTTTCCTTTAAGTGTTTTCTCTTTATTAAATATGAAAAATAAGGTTTATTGTTAAAGTACGCGTTTTTCAGTTTGATAATAAGAAGGACGCAAGAGAGATAATTTGATAGAAGAAGTCCAGAAGACCAATCTCTCATTGCTTATTACCTTGCAATTGTCATTTTGAAGGGAAACATGCATCCAACCTCCTCAAATCACGAATCAATGGGTGTAATAAGGTCGAGGTATTGTGGAGAAAAAGAAGAAAAGAGCAGTAAGAAAGGACTTTGAAGTGAAAAAAATAGATCAGAAAAAGTTGTGTTTTTCAAAAATCAGGAGAAAATGAGAAAAAGCGAAAAGAACTCATGTTGAGTGTGAATCTGACTTCAGACAAGAACATTGTCTCAAACAAGTGAGGTATGAAAGTCTTCCCAATATTCTTTCCTACTATACTTGGCTCATTGTGCGACACGTCTCAACACTGTTTGACATCAAAAGAGAATAAAATACGATTAGGTTGATGTTGATGGATTGATGGGGAGACCCGATGGGTATGTTTGATCAATTCTCCAAAAAATTTTAAATTATTTGATATTCCAGGTGAAACCCTCTGGATGGCTACTGCTTATAGAAATGAGAGATTCCGTCCAGGGAGGAACTGAGGGTTGACGATCAGACTTTCGATGAAGCCTAGAACGGAACCGAAAAACCGCACAATGGAGTTGATAGCAGAAATGTTTGCCGCGATGAAAAAGGAAGCGAAAAATATAACATCCTCCTGAAATTAAGTTTTCCAATTTTTAAACAGAAAACGTGTTGGCGTATATGTATGAAAAAATGACATTTAAATATATCATCAGAAATCTCAAAAATGCTCCAAGTCCTTCCTCGAGTGGCTCCACCGGTTATCAACAAGACGAACGCAGTATTCGTGTCGCAAACCCATTTGCTAATGTCGTCTACTTGGTTTATTGAGTTTGGATGAGCGATTTCAAAATTCCAAATAAAATGTTTTACGTTTCTGGTTCCAGGGAGGATGGCCATGAATGACACTAGAAACATAATAAAACTCAATAGGACTATTCAATTTGCCGTATAAATGAAACAGCCAGCTACCGTACACCACCGCCATCAGCTTTCAATCATGTAATGGACTTTCACAGAGATTGGAGAAATGTCGAAGAGGTGGAATTCTGGAAAAAACACTGTGTTCGCGATAGAAATAATTTCAGATCATATTTCTTCGATTCTTCAAATATCCAGACGATTCAAGAGGAGTTCTTGCAATAATTGTGGTGAACAGATCTTCAAGCCCCATTCCAGTTTTATGCCTTCCGAAAAGTGAAAGATTAGCCCTGATAAATTTGTATTTTCAGCAACCTTCTTTTGGAGTTCAGAGATTGATTGGTACCGTTGCCAATGGTAATTTCTAAAATTTTCCAATTTTTGCTTACAGTTGTCAGCTTTGTGTGTCTGAGAAGTATTCTAGAGAAGTTTTGCCTGCAAAAGAGGTCAAATAATTGACGGGAGCTTTACTTGAAGAACGAATTGAATTTTTTGACCGTATTCGACGCCCACGTCTCACTTTTTCAATTGAAAGTAGTAAATCCGTTCAATTTCAATGGGAAGTACATATTATTGCAGATGACGAAACCCCAAGCTATCACATAATTCAAGCATACATGAACGAAATGTGCTATTTGATGAAAATACTGCTAGAGAAATGCAACAAATTGGACATGTGCATCAAATAAACAATGAGGAAATCAGAAATATCATCGACGATAATTAAGCTTAACAAGCGGAAGAACCCACAAATGATCCCGGTCTTTCATCAAATGAGCCAATATCAGTGGAAGAAGTAGGATGGTTTCGGAAGTTTATGAGAAAAGTTGCTAAATTCATTATTGTGACTTAACGTTACGGAAAATGAAAATTTGTGAACAAGCTTGCATAGTTTTTAAGTTTGGCGGCAATTTCAAGTTAGAAGATGTAGGAAAGTTTTTGGATTACTGGTTATTAGCGAGATCCTGAAAATCATCTCAATTTTCCTTTTTTCGTGGAAAAGGATTGTGTGAATATTGTTGAAGCATTTTGCCAAAAAATTCAATCGGTGCAATTTTCGTTTTTTAACGTTCAACACTGGTCTCTCATTCTTTTTTATTTTCTATCAAAGTTGACAAGTTTATCAGGAAATTGGCAATTCTGGATATAGTAGTAGATTTTGTAATTTTCACCGTAAAAGAAATGCTCCACTGTCTGGAAGGTCAAACCCAGAACCCAATGTGTGTCCAATGTTCAATTGTTTTTTTCCTATTTACATGTGCTTGTTCGGTTGATAGATTGTTTCATTTTTACGATTATCAGAACGTGTTAAATTTGAATAACTGCAGCAAATACGCCTTGCCGCAGACCTCGTGTACTCCACGCGGACAAGTTTCGTTTAACAAATGTTTAAAATCTACCAATTTGAGATTCCTAATTATTCTTTTCTTCAAAATGAGATCTGTTCTCAAAAATAGATGTTTTTTTTACTAAAGCATTGTAGACGTCGGTAAACTGCCATTGTCGTTGCTGTTTCAAATAAATCTGCCAGTGACTTTTTTCTTTTTCAGCACAACTGTGGATATCCTTAGAGATGAAATCGTGTGTATTCCTGGTTTTGCTTCCGAAAGGATTATCGATTTCCGCCGGACAACGTTTTTTAAATCACAGCAGTCGAAGCAAAAATGTTCTGAATGTGGAGCTAGAAACGAAGAGTTTGATGACTCATTGAAGATTGATTGCCTTTTCAGTATGATCAAACATGTTCGGTAATAATGTAGTGCTCACAAAGTCACGATCAACGATGTACGGGTATTCAGTGAGTTTTTGTTACAAAAATAATCATATAACACACAAATTTTGGCTCTTTTAGGGAAGAGCATTCCCAACATGGGAATGCCGGTCCTACCAAATTCTGACAACTACTTTGTTAATCTGGTCAAGGCTCCAACGTTCCGATAGCGCTTGATTGCAAGTAAGTTTGAATAAAGATAATTCACAAAGAATAATAGTTGTCGGAACGTTATACCGCGATCGGAACGTTGGGACCTCAATGAGATCGTTGAAGTCGTTCTTCCCGGAAAAAGCCCGAAATTTCATGATAAACTAAATTAAAAAATTACAAATCATTAATCTCCAGTTCTCATTTCTTTGTGGTGTCTCTGAAAATTGTTTACAAGTTTTGGAGAAAGATTCATGTTTCTTTTGGAGCACTCGGCAATGTTTTATAAAAAATATTTTGACCACTTTTTGGAAGCAGCATCTGCTGTGTGTACACAAATGACACATATTCTCTGTACCACTCAGATCGTCTTAGTCAGCGAACACACGTCCTTCCCCCTCTTCTCCACCTGCCAAAATTGCCAAAAAATTATGGACAGACACAGACGCTCTGTCTTGTCTTCTGTTTTGTCTTACCTTCTACCATACCTTCTGTTTTGCACTGAACACCGTTAATCTTGTGTGTACGCTCTACAATGGATCTTTTCGAGGATGAAGAGCTAGACGCGGAGAATGTGATCAGTCTTCGGTTGGATTTAGAAAATATTAAAGAATTCTATAATGCTCCGGATCGTTGTTATGGAACAGGAAAAGATATTCTGAACACATATTGGTAAGTTTTTTTTTATTTTTTAAAATATGAAAATACAGTACTTGCTCTGTTAGAAGCACAACCTATGCGTGCACTTCAAACTCAAGTATCACAGTTGCTATGAGCAATATCAAAAATCTGTCAACAGGTAAAATGTTGGTAACATTATGGTTAATAATTTATTAGTTGAAAATTATTCAATGTCTTTCAAAGGAACAAGGATAACTGAGCTCAAAGTCGCCGTCTATGGTAGATTTCTATCAGAGCAATACATATGTTTTCGCAACTTTTTCACGAAAAACCTAAAAACGAACTCTGTGTTTTTCAGGGTTTTCGGCTGCTATTATGATCCTAAAGTTGACAAATATGTGATGTCGGCCATTGGCGAAGAATTAGAAAATGTTCGGTGTGACGTCACATTCAGTGTCGTCCAACCAAGAGCTCCAACAATGGAACGGCTGTTGGCTAGACCTAACAATCAGCGAAAGAAAAAAATTGTGAAACAATTTTTCCGGGAAGCCGCTAATATACCCGGCGGGGAATGGGAAACCGTCTTCACGGACGAGAGGAACAAATTTGAAAATTGGGCACTTCTCGGATACGTGGAATATCAATTTCGCGTGGAACTGACTCCTTTTCTACTTCCGGAGCCAGAACCAGGGATGGAGCCGGAAATGGTCGATGATCAAGAGCCCGAAGAAGTCGAGGAGAACGAAATCGGAAAAGAAGAAGAAGAGCAGGTCGAGCGGAAACCTGAAATTTTCGAATTGTGCTTGGACCTCTGAAAGTGAGTTTTTAAATGACGCACGCGAAGAAATTACCAAAAAATTATTTCAGACTCATAACTTCCACCATGGAAAAAGTTCTTCTACAAATAGTCTATATCAATTGCTAACCGATTTCTTCTAGTGCAAATATTTTTGAAATTTGAGTAAGTCTTCGATATTCAACATTCTCCAGAAAAAAAACTATTTTTCAGATACCAGCCATCAAAGTTTACTTCAAATCCGTTGAATCTTTTCGGAATGTTACTGAATGCAAATTTGATTTTCCTCTCTTCAACTCTTCAGTTTCGAAAATGCCTGGATTTTATTTTCATTTTTATTTTCCTTCAATTTCTGTAACTTTTTTCACCTGTTCCCCTTATGAAATCAAACCCCCTACCTTCTATATTTCATCTTATTCGTTAATTAAGAAATTGAATTTATTTCTGATTACAGATTTTCATTTTCACGATGATCTTGATCTTATCCGTGTTCGAATTTTTTTCTGAGTTTTAATAAATTCAAATCTGGCAACTATTTTTTTATCTCTATTATTTTTTATCTCTATTACATTTTTTTATCTCTATTACAGCAAAAATGCGATTTCCAATGAAATGTTTATGGAGATAGGAGCCGTATTCACAGCAGAGCGCGGTTTCCGTTAATTGTCGCTCTGGGATGCTGTGTGCTGGGCCGGCCAAATGCATTATGCGTTTTCTCTAACATAAGCTCTCCATCTGAACTAATGGTTAGAGAGAAAACACTAGCCTCATCCATTTTTTGCCCGCTCGCTCTTTTCTGCTAGTGTTACACACCACGCGAATGCTAATTCTTCCTCTATCTTCTCTCGCCTTTCTTCCCTCCGCACAATGTCTACACTCGAACTAAGCCACCGAGAGGCCCCGAGTGACCCGACAGGAAACTGTGTCTCTTCAATCCGCACGGTATTTTCCGCCGTTTCTGGTGAAGATAGGGTGTGCGAGCGACATTCGCCGCGTTGCCCCACTGTTTCTCGCACACACATACGTATACGTCATGAACACCATCTGCCGTGCTGATGGATCGATAGCGAAGAGAGAGGACGAAAAAATAAAACACAACGGGAAAGAAAAAATTGGGGGACGTTCCTGAGAATGGAAGTAATTGTTTTCATATAAAGTTGAAAATGAACTCGATCTTATGGGGGAGTCGGGAAATGGCGAATTTAAATGAAAATTGATGAATAAAGCGTTTCTAAAATAAGATTTTGAAAACTTGTTGTAAACTTTTCTCTGTTTTTGAGAACTAAATTTACTTGAAATTTCACAAATATTGAAAACTGGGAATCCTCTTTTCTGGACAACGCAGTTTACATTTCAATTTTCATTGATTGTATCAAAAAGTATATATTCGTGTTGAAAAGCTTAAAACTCAAGTTTGAGACAGACAATTACGCACTTTCCAACAATAAACATTTTTGGATGAAAAAGTTTTAAAAAACCGAAAATAAACATAAACGCAATTATGATAGAACTACTATATTATGAAAACAAGTGAATTTTTGTCCGTTTTTCACGCTTTTTGAGTGATTTTTCCAGAGTGACTGATTTATCTAGGTTTTAGATCTCTAACAGGTCATTAACTTCATCTTTGAGAACTAGCAAACTTGATAAAACAGTTAAACATGGACCGTTTCGCAATTTTGTTATCAACAAAATAGCGTACGAACTGGAAGTTCTGTGACTACAAGAGCTCATAAATATGGTTTGGAAATTTGAAGTGAGAGATTGCGAAGCTTTCAACCAAAGTCAATATAAATTTATTCATCCATTAACATAGGAAGTTCAGTCCCCCAGATTTTTTTTACAAAATTTTAGTTCTACGCAAATTTCAACAATGGACTGCTTCAATTTCAATCCCACAAAGTCCTTCTCGCCGAAACCTGACATTTTCAAGTTCACAATAATTTTCACTTCCCACCAAAAACAAAAATTCGTCACATTCACATTCAAAAAAAGTCACAAGATTTGCTCTTTTCCACATTTTGTTGCTTAGAAACCTTTCTAGTGGCTTAAGAGAAAACGACATTTCCTAGAAATTTCTTCTCAATCTTTCTTCCCATTCAACACGAGATACTAAATATTTGAATTTTCAAGATTCTACTCATGGTATGTTGAAGAAAATTAGTATACAGGTCCTGAACAACATTTTCCAAAAAGATTTCAGAACGTTAAAATGTTCCCAGAAGAGTCGCTGAGATCTTCTGAGCATAGCATTGGATATGTTGGGCGCCGAGTTTATGCTTGTGCTCTTCTTCTCTGGTTTGTAGCTATTTGTCTCTACACATGCATAGTTTTACTGTACAAAAGCAGACTGACGATATCATCTGAAGTGGATCCAGAATCTGAAATGAATCTTATCGATAATCCATGGCTGGCAGACACAGAAATTGAAAAAAAGGGCCCAATAGAGATTTTTGAGTGTACTCCAGAACCAGTTCTTGTGAACATCATAAATGAATGATTACTATGTTTATTTGCGCTTAATTGAATGAAAGTGTGTTAATAATTTGTTAATGAAATTACATTAGAGCAAGTGGATACAAAAGAAAAAAACTATTGGTGTTACTGGATATTCTGACTTTTTGCATGACATCAAAAACAATGTAAGCATTTTAAAAAATCTACAGAAGTAGTCCAGACGTGTTTACTTTTTCTGAACATTTCAGAATTCACAAATCGGAAATAGATCTCCATTTTTATATCTGACACATTTTTGTAAATATCGAAAAGCAATATTAGGCTGTTTTTAAAGGCACAGCAGTGAGGCATTTCCGGAACGTTTTTCCACGTACCACGTATCTCCTCAGACTGGAATTAGGCAAAGAAGTTATCAATTGAAAAAATAAAAATCTAGTTTTGTTTAGTATTTTCTGAAATCTTCTGACAAATGGAACAATTCTGGAATACTTTTGTAGTGTTTCAAAAATGACTACCTTCCACTGAAAAAAATTTAAACTGTTTATATTGGTTAAATACATAACCAACGTCATATCTCCTGAGACTGGAATCAGCCAAAGAAAATGCCAATTACAAAAATGAAGATCTAGTTTTGTTTAGTATCTTCTGACATTTTCTGACAAATTGAACAATTCTGGTATACTTTTGTAGGGCTTCAAAAATGACCAACTTCAGCTTCACAAGTTCCGCATCAAACATTTACTTTTTTTTTCCTCCCATTATATCCTAGAAAATTTCTGCAACACTATCTACAGAATTAGAAATCTGCTCAAATCAACAAACATTTTTTCTCAATATGCTCAGTTTCAAAAAAATAGTGAAGTATGACGAATCAAAAGCAAAAAATCAGTGATCCGGAAGAACTACAATGTTTTTACGAAGATTTTTCTAGATATCGTATTGAAATTATATGTGGAACTGAAATTTAGTTAAGGGCAAAACTGTCAAAATTTGGTCTGCTCACAGAGGCGCCGGGAAACGGCAAGGATCCAAATATCTGTCTCTCGACATATGTACTACAAGAAAGAAATACAGTAGCCAAAGCAGATGTAAACACCAAATATTTGTGCGAAGTTTAGAAACTGGAAAATGTTTTGATATTGGATTCTAAGTTTTTTATTCTCAGACAGGAAAAAAGTTCTATCTAGGAAGTGAATATTAGGTTGTTCCAAAAGTCCTTTCCACTTTTGATATGTTGTTTTCAAACTTCGTTTTCTTGAAGGGGATAAAAGCGAGGAAGTTGTCATTTTATCAGTATGTTGGTGAGGTCTAATAGTGTCTACACCCCAACGGGGATCATTCTCCTCTTTTCGTGCAGTGAGATATGCCCACCGTTTTCGTCTCTAATAATTTCCATTTTTGGACTACAATTTTATTTGTATTTCTATCTGACAACTGAAATCAATCACCAATTTGTGGAGGTTAACAACGAAGATGCACCCTTTCGAACAAACTTCACAACCTGGATTCATCAATTTGAAAAATTAAAATTCTCGTTGGACGAAAATCCCCCTCCAAAAAAGCGTACGGGCTCAGATTTGGACGCATTAAAAACCGGGATTGAAAGGGACCCGTCACAAACTGTGCGGGATATATCAAGTACATCAGTGAAAAGCCTTTTGTCAAAAAGCCATAAATTGGGAACTCTCGGCAAAGTAAAAAAAGTGGTAAGATATGGATCACACCTTTTCGCTCAAAGCAACTTTGTTTCATGTGTGGGCACCTGTTTGAATCTTTTTATCCTGCGTTGCATACATGAATGTTGAAGTTAAATCATTACTAGTGGCGATAAATGGGCAATGTATGATTACTATAAACAACAATGCAAGTGGGTTGACAAAGGCACTCCCCCACCAGACGTCCCGAAACGTGAAATTAACGTTAAAAATGGGATATTTTCGGCATGGATGTCTACCAAGGAGTGGAGTATTGGGAGCTGCCAGATAATGGTGTCACTTTTATGACCGATACCTAATTTTGTCAAGTGACATAACTCAGACTCCATGTGGATCTCCATTGGAGAGAAACACAAAGGTTTATTTTCAAAATCGTAATTCGCAACCTCATGCGGGAAGGAGAACGGAGACCGATCTCACTGGATACGGCTAAACGGTTTTGTCTTATCTACAGTGTAGTCCAAACCTTGTACTGTCTGACTACCCCCTATCCAGCCATTTCTACCGGCATCTTGATTGAAAAAATTCACTTCAAAGCATGATGTCAAAAATGGGTTGACCTGATTTTTAATGCGCTGTGACCTGAGTTCTGGAAGGAAGGCATCCACAATATGGTGGGATGTTGGCAGATAGTCACTGATAACAATGATCATTATCTTCAATTTATCTTTTGACTTTTTTTATATCGAATGAATCTGACGCTAAAAATGGAAAAGAGTTTCCGAACAACCTAATAAAGCCCAATGACTTTTATCAAGAAAAACCCCTTTCTCAAATTTCTCTTAGGTATGATTTTTCTTTAGAACTCCTCATGTGATGTACGTTGTAAGATCTGCACCAATGATGTAGACCTTTTTTTGAAATCAAACAAGAAAACCCACCAAACCGAAAAAGAGATTCTTCAAAACCAGTGAACTTTAGGCGCCATATGGTTGTTTTTTGCCATTATCCTACAAAACTTCGTGTGATCTCAACGAAAGCTCAACGAATCAGGCGCCATATAGCTGTTTTCGGTCACTGTCATATCTCAGAAATACAAACAAAGAATAAATCCAGGCCACGGAATCTAGATTTAGTTCTGCTTCTTGTGAATAATGGTCCGCTGGTGCTTCTGTAGATTGTGGTAAAATCGAATGAGATGCTCACCAAAAAGGTGATACCGATTCTAAAGCCTACAAATTAGATCAGCAGTCACCCTCGTACATTCGAGAAAAGTCCACCAGCAAACACCAAACACATGGCGAATTTCCAAAAGTGTAAATTCCGGAAGCCAAAAAAGCTGAAAGAAATTTGGAGAAGGTTGAAAACTGAGAAAAGTTTTTAATGTTTCAAAATTTTATGCTGTTTTTCTGTTGGTTGCTACACAACAAAGGTATATTTCTCTGTTTACAATACATAGGAATTTTTTTCGCTTATATAGTTTAATATGAAATCAATACTTCTTGCTATGGTTAGAAGTTTCGGCGCTGCTGACAACATTGTGAGAATATTTCTTGAAGAATGAATGACTTGGTACAGGCAACCTATCTACGGGCCGCGACCGGCCGCAAACCTGTTTTCGACAGCGTTGCTCAGGTTGACCTTATTAACTGTGTGTGCTTATTTTCCATTTGTTCAAACATTAATATTATTTTCATCCCTCTCTGATTTTCAAATTCATCATCACCGTGCAGCAAGAGCAGAGTTTAAGAATTGGGCGGAGCATTAAATACGAGTAATTTTTGAAAATATGGGCGGAGAATCAAAGACGCATACTTTTCTGAAATATGGGCGGGATCTTGGCACTCTTCTCTTTTAAAGAGCATTTCAGCAGTGTTTTTCATCAGTCGTTACCTCACTCTCCCACACATCAACTTCTCGGAGAAAATGATCCGTCTCATTTTCCTCCTCTCTCTCCGCTGCTCCCTCCTTTGGAATTTCCTGCTACGGCTACAACGATTACCAAGAGGTCGTCGAGACCCTCCACCACCGTAAGTTCTGTACTGCGGTGTACGAGGTCTCCGATGGCACCGGAGCCTTCGGCGGTGGTGAGAGACATCCGTCTCGCATCCCGAACATCGTCAATATGACCAAGGGAAACGATTGTATCATGCAGGTATGTTTAACAGTATATGCCTTCAAATCCTATTTTCCATTTCCAGCACGTCCAAAGCAACCTCGGCATTCCATCATCCGACATGTGGCTGTGTTATTGTTACACAGAAATGTGTAACTACCCATTCACTTGGAAGGAATTCGTCAGCCGCGGATACCCCTCAAACCGACCTATGCCGCTGGATTCGAGAAGAAGTGAACTCGGAATGTGTTGATGTCTTTAATTGATTTGTCCCATTTTCAAAACTGATTTGTATTTCTTATCTGTGTTTTCTTTGTCCCTGGTCGGAGGGTTCGGAATGAAATTTGTTGCATAGCCCGTCTCTTGGGATTTTCGGGGGGTTTCAGAGTACTCTGCGGTTCTTCTTCTGTGATCTTCTTTGTTCTCGTCATGGGTGTTCGGAAATTCTCCTTGGGTAGTCTTTCAGTCTTCGGTAGAGAGACGTGTACTGTTCCCCTGGGTGTAGGAAGTTTTTGAAATCTATGGCCTTTCCAGGTGGTCTTTTTCCAGCTTGGGATGTTTTATTAGACTGAGATTCTTTGAGTCCGCACGGGTTTATGGATTCCCAGAAATCTCTTGTATTCATTGCGGTAATGTTTTTTTGCTTGAATTAGATTGCTAAGATGCATTCAATCCGTTTTCCTCCTCTCTGATGATTACATTGGCTTCATATTTAATTTAAAGAGCATGTTTACAAGAAAAATCAGAAACAAGAAAATAATTATAATTATTTTTCTAACATTTCCTAAATTATAGGTTAAAATATTGAAAAAGGTTTGAAAATGTAGTTGAAATGTAGAGAAAACATTTTCAAACAACATTGGAGAATAATTTTGATGTTGGAATTTTGAAGTGAATCAGAAAAAACTTTAATCAAGTTAGCTATAATTTTAAACGGAAAATTTGTTGACACTATTTATTGATAATGTACACTGATCATCGTATAAGTTAAGCTGACATGGAATGACGCCCAAGTGTTACCCTCGAAAAAAATCGAGACATATATGGTTGGATAGAGCGTAAAAAGTTATTTTAGATTCCAAACGGAATAGTTGGTAAAAATTTTTTTTGGAAGTTATGGTCCAAAAAGTACCAAAAAATGCTTAAATTTTCAAAAAATCATAACTTTGTCAGTTTATGTCCGTTTGTTGAAATTTAAAAAACAGTAGATGGACAATTAATTGAACATTCAAGAATGAAATTTTCAATTTTTTTCCTATTGATTGGATTATTGATTTTTTGAAAAAATCAAAAAAAATTTTAATATCTCGAAAATCCTAGGTTAACTTTTTTTTCATTGTAACCATTAAATTCAGCACATTTTTATTTATTATAGAAACATATCAATACCCCGGGGGAAATCATGCTCACACAAGTTATGCCGAAAAATATCGATTTTTGGCACTTGGCTTCTTTGAATTCGTTCTCCTCGGCGACCGGTATGGTGAGGGGCATACTAGTTTTTGTGATTTTTACTTGCATATCGTTTGCTCAAAGTGTTTGAAATAGAATCCTGCGACATACAAAATCAATTTTTCAAATGCCGTACCATTTCTTAAAATCATCATCTTGAAAAAAGCAAAATTTTGACATGTGACGGGGCACATCTATAGTTAAACTTGATAGAAACATCCAAACTCATTTTTTAAACATAATCAGAAGAACGTAATCTTATCAACAAGTTGAACAGAATTTCGATTTAGGTTCATAATCAAAAATATTTACGATTTTCCGAGCCTGACCCCTATTTTTGGTGAAGTGTGTCATGTGACAGGGCACATCTATAGTTAATCTTGATGGAAATAGCCAGACTTTTGTTTAAACATAATTAAATTGACAAAATCTTATCAACGGCTTGAACAGAATTTTAAATTAAGCCCTGAAAATATTCACTGATGATGGGACACCTTTTGTTTTTGATCATAACTTGAAAACGAAAAAAAAATATCGAAAAACTGTTAACGCCATTTGATTTAAAATGAAACAATAACATAGAAAAAGTGGAATCAACTTGGTCCCTGTGGTGAAAGTAGGTTAAATAAACGATTTCCGAAAGATATCCTTCCAGCTTCGGACAGCCGAAATCGACCTTTTTCCATTCCACCTATTTTCACGATACGAAACAAACCAATAACATTTTTCTAATAGTATTTTTTAATTTTAAATCGAATGGCGTAAACAGTTATTCGATCTTTTTTTTCGTTCGAACAAACGATATGCAAGTAAAAATCACAAAAACAAGTATGCCCCTCACCATACCGGCCGCCGAAGACAACGAATTCAAAGAAGCCAAGTGCCAAAAATCGATATTTTTCGGCATAACTTGTGTGAGCATGACTTCCCCCGGGGTATTGATATGTTTCTATAGTAAATCAAATGTGCTGAAATTAATGGTAATAATGAGAAAAAAGTTAACCTAGGATTTTTGAGACATTCAAAAATTTTTTGATTTTTTCAAAAAATCAATAATCCAATCAATAGGAAAAAAATTAAAAAATTTTATTCTCAAATGTTCAATTAATTGTCCATCTACTGTTTTTTAAATTTCAACAAACGGACATAAACTGACAAAGTTACAATTTTTTGAAAATTTTGGCATTTTTTGGTACTTTTTGGACCGTAACTCCCAAAAAAAAAAAATTTTACCAACTATTCTGTTTGGAATCTAAAATAACTTTTTACACTCTATCCAACCATATAGGTCTCGATTTTTTTGAGGGTAACACTTGGGGGTCATTCCATGTGAGCCGAAACCTTTTGAGTTTAGACTACAGTGATCCTTGTCACCCAAGCTATCAATGAACGCGGCTGCTTTCTGATCACGGCACTTCTGAGATAATTAGGTTGCGGCAACCAGTCCGACCGCTGACTAGATTAGACAGCTTCGCTCTTAACTAAATCTAGTTCTACATCCTTTTCATGATGTTATCTAGAAAGATCCTTTTCAAAGTTTTGTAGTTCTTCCAGTTCACTGATTTCTCGTTTCTGATTAATATTTGTCAGATTGTGTTCTTTTCGTAATATGTACCTGAGAATTTTGATAAATTATTTGTTCACGTGTATATTAAAGCAGCATTTGGATTCTGATCGACGTAGTGTAGTGTTGCAGAATTTTTTCGGCATGATGTTCCAAAGTGCTATAGTTTTTTTGTTTTCTGCTTATTTCACTAGATTTATTCTTTTCTGAAATCAATTTTTCTTTTTTTTTTCTTTCTCATTTTTAATGATTTTTGGCACTGTTCTAGAACCACAAAACGAAACTTGAGAAACATCTATAAGTCAAATTCAAGGCTATGTACATCCAGTAAAGTTATTGAACTTGAGACAATTTTTCAGATGTTACTGATGAAAGAAACGTGATGTTCCCGCCTAAGCCTACCATTGACAAAACCCTTCCTCAAAAATATTATACAACTTGTCGTAAAATCTGAAATCTGAGGAAAGCATTTTCATATCAAGGGTTCTTTTTGATTTGGACTAATACTACTCTTCATTTCGGACTACGTTTTCAGTCCAAGAAAATGGGAGTCAACTTTTGGATTTAGGAAATTTTCGTAGATTATAGGCTTAGGCTGAATGTCATGTTTCATTCGTTTGGAAAATCCGAAAATGATGGCAAGTTACGTTTCCTCTGCTAGTTGTAACCTCGAGTTCAACATGCAAATGCACCCAAGTGGACAATTGATTTCAGTACTCTATCAACTAGTGTATCTTAAGAACTTCGAATACCACTTTTCTCATATACTTTTGGATACTGAGCCAAATTAAAACGATTTCAAATTTAGATTAAGTGATAGTACTTGGATAACGATGAGAGCAATTTTTGAATATCTCAAAAACATTTCGTTCCGCGATTTTTTTTCGTCCAGTGATTCTAGAAAAGGGCAAAAAAAAACTTTAAAAATGGGAAAAAAGTAGGACAATTATTTCAGTAACAAATAAATCAACTGAAATAAGCAACAAACAAGAAACTGTAGCGCTTTGGAACATTTTGGGGACTTCCCCACCCATGATGCTGACACCTTATGAAAACCCCCCGTCAATTCTCAAAACCCTGGTTTATTCTCAAAACCCCCGTTAAATCATATAAATCCCAAATTCTTCACTGTTCCAAAAAAATGAATAACGGATTCCACCACATAATGTTTAATTTCATGCTACAGACTTTTCTTCAGAGCCTGGAAACAAATTTGTTTTTAAGTTCGTCTTTCAAACCATAATTATTTGCTATTACTGATTTCTTCTGTAAATCATCTTGTTCAAAGTTTTTCTGATTCAGTTTGACATAACAAATTCAAATTGTTTTCCCCAAACGCTGTGGGAATTTTTTTTCACTTCATTTCAACCACAATTTCAACCCTTTTTCAGTCTTCTAACCTATAATTTTTGTAAACGTTAAAAACAATGATAAATCACAAACTAAAACTGAAAATTATGTAATTGGTATTTTGAAACATATAGATTTGTTTTTTGATAATCGGGAAAAATCTGAAAAAATTAACAGTTGAACGTTTTATTGAGAATCTTTACACACAACATGAAGGCCCTCAATTATAATCATTCAATGAAATCAATCTGTTTTGATATCCAGACCAACTTGGTCTGGAGCAGCCACCGGTTTCTCAACAGCACTGTCCGTTTCCTCGTTCACATTCACGATCTCGAAGATGATGTGTCTTGTTGGAGGAGGATCTGTGTTAGTAGATCTTGAAGCAGCATGGTTTGTTACTGTCTTCTTTGGCTCTCGGTGATCAATGTAGCACGAGTAGAAGCAAACGAACAGGAGCCAGAAGAGTATCACCAGAACGTAACCCATGGCAACAACCGTTCCAACGATGTCAGTGGAGGAGAGAGGTTTGTCGGAGACATCAGGCCAGCTCAGCATTTGTCCCATATGTTAAGAAATTCTAAACTTCTGAAGAACCCGTTGTATCCCACATGATAATTTTTTTTTTAAAAATGAAAAGAAGTATATGCTATTTATTCTGAAAATCGGTTCGATATCTCAATATCTTTCCACCCCACCAGACTCACCACTGTAAACTTCTAAGTTGAAAAATAGAGAATTAGAATTCCGATCTGGTTGAGAAAGAAAATTTTGAGAATGAAAATGTCGGCATGAAGTCGTTCTCTCCCGGACCACTCGAGTAGTTTCATGGCAACACTCCTGGAAACCGCCTGAATGCCAATGCTCGTGACTTTTTTAATGTGACAATGACAAATTTTTGTCTTGTTGGATAGCAGAAGACACACTTTGGGAATTGGAAAGAGAGAACGAAAAACAGTAAACAAGTTGTCGATTCATTTTTGAAGTTTTGGTCAAAAAACGTTTTCACAGATAAAATCAAAACCACCGTGTTTTCGTTAATAGACTATTGTCCTATATGTGCAGTTTGAGCCTGGCGAAAAGTTGTAAACTAATTAAATGTTCATGATAATATCACCAGTGTTTTGTTAGTTTACACTTTTTTGAAATCTTGCCTGAGAATCAAGAAAGATTTACTCCAAGACAGAATCTCTGGAAAAAAAGGAACGACATACAAAGAAGAAAAAGACACCGCTTCTTTTACTTATTACAAGAATGATGATTACTGAGTTTCAGAAAACAGTTGCAGAACAAATAAAAAAGGAGAGAAATATGAAAATTATAAAATAGAAGAAAAAGGAGATAGCTGAAAAATCAGAGATTACAATTGAAGTTGATAATTGTAACGTTGTCCAGACCTACAACTGTAGGTCTTGTTCAGGATTTTCAATATTCTCCTGATTAGCTAGATTATCTACTTGTGGGAGTAAGGATCACTTGAAGTTACCTGGTGGTGCAAAAGGAAAAATGCAATTGGATGGAAAAAATGGGGAAAAAGCAGCAAACGATCTTGGTCCGAGGGGAAATGAAATGTTGGACGAAGAAGTTCCAGAAGGCAAATGAGGCTGAGTTGATAGCAAGACTGCTACAGCAGAATCATATTGATTTGAAATGTCTTCTGAAGATCCTGTACAAGAGGGAGTGTTATAAGGTTGCAAATGGTCAGATCCAGCATTTTCCAAGAGAGTTTTGTTGGTCCAATTAGGCAAAAGAAGTGTGGCAGAAGAAGCAAAAGAAGTTGGCCCAATTGGAAATTGAAAATTGACTGGAGCAGCTGGTGCTGAAGTTACGGAATCGTTCTTTGTTTCATCTGGAGATATTAGAGATGCTATAGAAAATAAGGTGGTTGAAGATGGCACTTCAATAGCACTTCTAGACTTCCTTTTGCAGCCTTTGGGATGTGCTTTCATTTTGAAAATTTCTGGATTCTGTAAAATACAAGTTTTAATACAAAAAATTCAATTGATTTGACCATAACTTACGCGATACTTGTGGACTACAATAAATGTCATGCAGTCGAATCTGAACTCTTGAGGCGTATCCAATTGCACGGTTGTCCCTTGCTCAACTATTTTGGAGACCAAAAGAACTGCCTGATACTTGTAGCTAGATTCCAAGACAACTGCTCCTTTTCGCAAGCAACTAGATGAATTGCTCATTGGAACCTCAAAAACCACGTCTTCGCTCATAAATCTTTGGCCAGAAAATGTATTTGGATGTAGGTAAATGTGCTTTTCAGGTGAAATATTTGTGTTGGTTGCATTTTCATTTGGTTTTTCTATCCATTTTTTAGCGTCCCTGATGAAATGGAACCTGAAATGTTTTTTTTTCGAGTTGTGAGCATTTGAAAAGAAACGAAATATGGCTTACCTTCCATTGGAAACTTTATCGAACCGAAGACTGAGTTGATACTTTGCATTCGGATCCATTCCAGTGAACTTGAACCAGGGCGTAGAATAAAAATAGCTATCCTTAGCAATTACAGGCTGCTCTAAAACGGACGAGGAGTAGACCTCGAACTCGGCGATGTTTTCAAGTCTGACTCCAATAGGCATTGACAGAGCTTGGGGAGCAAGGGTATTCTGAGAAGGGGTCACTTCGGGCGGGAAATTAGACGACTCCATGAGAGAAAGATGATGATGAAAAAATGAATATAAGGAAATTGTTTAACAAATCTGGAGATGGAGTCAGAGCTGACGATCAGCAAGTCAATGGTAGTAAACTCCTCCCCCAAACTCATAGTTCTCATCAGTTGGTATAAGAATCAATACAGGTATTCTGGTATATGAGGTCTACTGTATACTGTCAGTCATGCAGTCATAAAATGTGTGGTTCTCGACTGAAGAAGTGTACGGTAGTTTACGATGCTGATATGAATGACAGTGTACACAGAACTCTCCCTCCGGGAAGATAAGATGTGCTGAAAATGAAAAATATTGTAAAAGCTGGCAATATTTTTGCCTAATGAAATGACTAAAAACTCACATGAAATTGTTTTCAATGATTAACATTAGTTTTTGGTCCCTCGAAATTAAGGTCCCGTAATGCGAATTTTAAAAAATTTACAGTTCGAAATTCTGAAAAAAAGGAATGTCTACTTGATCATTTGAGATGAAAACAATATCAGAATCAGTCCAGGAACAATAATTTTCGGTACCTCGAAGACACAAACATGCCAATGACAGTAAATCAAAAAAATTGGTTTTCAAAAATGGACCTGAACATATTATTTCTTCTGTAGCTACTTTTTGAGGTTTTGCAATTTCTAAAAAAATTTCTTTGCTTCTATATGAACCTAAATGTTCTTCTATTTTTATACATTTTGTTCCATAAAAAATGTTTGGTCGGAGTACCCTTTCGAAAAATCAACCTCGATTTTATTTTTTTTTCGAGTGGATGATATTTTGTTTTTTCGTTTAATTTTATAAACAAGTATCGTCTAAGAATTTATTCGAATGATTTATTCCAGTTGATTTCATCGTGAGGTTCATTGTCTATTTTTATCATGTAAGTTATGCTTGAATTTCAACTAGAATTTGATTTCATTTATGTCCCCTTTTTATATCGTGACCACCCAATAGAATTTCGTTTTTCCCTTGGTTTTTGCATTTTTTGCTGAATTCCGTTTTATTGTTACCAATGATTTGTTTGAATCTTCCACCTCAACATTCCGTCTGTCATTTTTTATCATTTGGTTTGAAATATGGTTCGATGTTATCTCGCCGAATTCATCTTCCTTTTCCATCAAGGTCAGAAAATTGCACAACATCTTTCCTTTTTTCGGCGCCAACTGTTCTTTTTTACCTTATCTCTCCCACGGTGGCGTTGCCAAATATTGTTAACGAGAAAAATTCTGATGCGCTAAAAGGAAACGGCAGAGAAGAAGGTCAATGACGTTTACGCCTGTCCCGTAGTTCAGAGAAAAGAGGAGAAATCGCAGAAATGAGAACCCTTCGATTACCGTAAAACCTCTAATAGAACGACACCCGGATCGTCCACTTTGAGCCTATATATCTCACTTCTTTTGAAAGATATCAAAAAGTGGTTAACTAGTAAAATGTTTATCAGGATATCAGCAACATTTTACTAGTTAGCCACTTTTTGATATCTTTTACAGAAAATGAGATATATAGGCTCAAAGTGGACGATCCGGGTGTCGTTCTATTAGAGGTTTTACGGTAGTTTTGCTCCAGAGTATGTGTTTGCATACTGAGAACAAAGAGACATGAAGCTAATACCCTTTGCAAGATGAAGGAGTACATTCGTTTTTAATCTCATTAGTAAGTCCTATTAGTAAGGCAAAGAAGACGTGCCGTGGAATAGAATATGAGACGTTTTCTGAGTAAAAATTGAAAGAGGAGACAAACTGACATGACTCCGGATAGTCACATCAATTTCTATTTGGGACAATGAGATTACTGTAGAATGTGTAAAAGATGCTGTTCTGGAGAACACTGAAAATATTATGCATAACACAATTCACACATAATCGAATGTTTATTTTTGGAAAAAAAGTTTTCAAAAAAATAAAATAAATGATGAACTTTAAAAATCTAACGCATAAAAAACAGGCATGTTGAAAAATTGGAAACACTCAAAAAGCGAGTTGAGTGGGAAATCAAAAAAATTGAGTGAAATTATTTTTTAATGATTGAAAAAACAAACAGTTAGGTGAATTCAAAAAAGTAGAGGTGGGTTGAGTGTAGAGGTAGCATCAAAACATCGCTTCGAAACATTGAAAAAAATAATTAAGAGAGCAAGAAATGAGAACAAAAAACTTATCTAGTTCACAGAAAAGGAGAAAAAAACCAAATAGTGGAGCAAGAAAATAAAAAAGGAAATAAAAAAGAAAAATTAAATATTTTTCTAAAAGGTGGACAGAATTTTTTCTAGTAGAAGTGGAGAAGTACGAATCTTAAAATTTTTTTAGACAGGAGGTGTTGGAATAGAATACAAAAAGTTGAAGAAACTGAAGATTATAAAAATATCTATGACTGGAAATGAGAAAATTGAAAATAGCGGAGATGGAAAGAGATGTGTTGGGAAATGAGAGAAAATTCAACAAGAAGGAAAAGTGAAAATGAAAGATAATTGGAAGTTCTGCCATCCAGAAATTGCTTCCTCCTGCGGCTCATCTTCTTCGTCTTATCCTCTGGATCCCACGCCGTCTATAAAGTGTTGTTTTAAAATATTCAAAATTCAATGAACTCACCCAGATCGTGACAAACGACTCGGGACCTCTACGTTCTTGTAGCCGTTTGCCTCAAACTGTAGAACTTTTTCAACAACTGAATGGAATCCATATACTTTTGCATACATCCCAAGCTGGAAAACTCTGCCATCTGGAATAGTTGCATTTTTAATATGATAACTTCGTAAGCCTCACTCTCAAAGGGCTTCTTCTTATCCAGAGCATGATCCACATTTTCCATGAAAAATTCTTTCCCGTCAAATGGCAAAGTAAATTGATCTTTCTGGGGATTCGCTTCAAACTTCTTGGCCAAAAAGCCACATGCGTTGGCTAGTTTTGATTTTTCGAATACGAAGCGATTTCTTGGAACCATTAACTTTATTAGAGGGATGAGAAGTATTTCTGCGGTTACTTCCAACTTGCAATACTTCTCCTCTGTCACCATTTTTTCGAACATTTTCTTCTTGTCGAGGGGATATAATTCATGTATCCCCGACTGCGATTCGTCGGACCTCGCTTTATCAATGACTTTGGGACGTAGTTTTCTTGTTTCTCGGATAAACGGAGTCACTTTCAGCGACACCGCAATCTTCCGCATCCCTATTTCACCATTATGTTTGATGACCGATTTGAACGCTTGAGCTTTTTTATCATAATAGAAGCGCAGTGTCCTAAAAGTTATCAGTGATTAAATGATAGCGAAATTTCAAGAAAGTCATCCCTCCCTCCCTCGTTGATGTTTCGAAATTCGGAATATTCAAATTTTGAAAATTTTGAAACTTTGTGATATCATGTTCCCATCACAATGCGCGAAACTTTTATGGAAAAAAACCTAAACTCAAAAAAAAATTAAAAAATCGAAAATATCGGATTCTTTGGAATTCCGAATTTGATTACAACCATTTCTGTCCCCCCAGTTTCAAAATCAGTCTTATCAACAAGAAACACTGAAAACACTCACCACTTCTTTTCCTCAATTATAGTGCTTCCAACAAAATCCGAAGTAGCATCTAGAGCAACGTCCCTCAGTTCCAAAACAATAACCCCCTTTTTAGTATAATTGTACGTTCTTGGGAGTAAAAACATCTTATCATACTGATGAATGAGTGTGTTTTTCAGAGGGCAAAATATGTTCTCAGCGAGAGTGCGCGAGAGATAATAAGGACAGCAGAGGTTTGACACACACAAATAAATTTTGCTGCCACACAGAGAATAATATAGACCAAACAAAAAAAATATGAGTGGACTATATTTTTTTTTCAATTTCCGGGAGAGGAGATTTTTTTGCGGATAAAGAGGCTTGACATATCAGAATGGGAAATTGCTGATTTTGGAAAGATTTCAAAAAAACTGAAAACGATAATCTAAGAACATTCATGTTTCAAAATGGTCTTCTACATATCTACTAAGAGGAGACTGCAAACATACCCATATTCAAAAAAATCACAGATTTCCAAAGGTTCAGTTCATTGTTGCCGTATTAGCTTTAAAACTCACTTCAGACGTACATTTGAACTCAATTATCTTGGTTCCTTGAAGAGATATTGAAATTTTGTAAACTAAAGAAATATTGGTGATATTATGATAAATAATTCATTAGTTGACAAATTTTCGATATCTTCTACAGGAATAGAGATACCGTAAAAACTGTAATATAACGGCACCTGTAATAGAACGTCCCCTCTAATACAGCGCCACCGACAGGCCACATCCGTAAAATAGAACGCCACCCCGAGACCCTCTTCGGAAAATATAGCGCCATGTCGTTATATTACAGTTTTTACGGTAATCCAGCTCAAAGTTGACAGTGTGGGTGAGCTTTATTAGAGGGAATGCGGTATTTGAATTCTCACCTTTTTCTCTTTTCTTCCTCACATTTCTTCGTATTTCCTGGTTTTTTGTTTAGTACAGAACCCACTCACATTTCATACACCACAGGTAAAAACTTGGTTTCTATTTATCTCCCATCAATCTTCATTTTATTCGTTTTATGGTTTGATTTTGTTTTTTTCTTCGGAACTTCTCTTCCTTTCCCGCCAAGGTCGCTTTATCTCCGTTTTTTGCCACTACCCTCAAAGTTCTTCTTTTCTCTTTGCCGGTGTCGTCGGCTCACTTCGTTAACAAGTATGTATGTGCGGCCTAAAGGGCCAAAAGGAGACTGAGAAACTGCTGATGACGTTCGCCTTTTCTTTTTTTTTCCCCGTTGCTCCGGACAACAAAGACAGAAGAAAAGAAATTGAGCATAACTTTCGCCCGCCTGTGTCCTTTTTTCAAGAAGGGGAAAAGCAAAGTGAATAGACGAAGAGTGGCTCTACGGACTCCACACTCATAGGCAGCTGTGAGTGTGAATGAATCTATAAGATTTGTGTAGAACACGAAAATTGGCACTCGGATTAGAGATGCATGTGTGTGTGAGGCGCGGGCCACCTGCAAATCTACAAAACTTCTCTCATTTTGGCCATTAATCTATGACCAGAAGGAGGAACGTGCCAAAAAAAGTTGGGATTATATTATTTGATTATTTTAAACGAGAAATAAAAAGATCATAGCACCAGGAAAAGATAAGATTATTTTCCTGAAAGATTACTTTACAGCCCGTTCAAAAAAAAGAAGAAAGAATATTTGTTCTGATAATATAAATCATTTTTATAATAAATAAATTTTGTTGCGTCTCTTCCTCTGTTTATTTCTCTGTCAGTTTGCCCGCACATTTTGAAAATCTTGAAAATAGAATATTGATTCGCGTGACCCTTAAGAAAGAGTAAGAATCGGGGAAACGAACAGTAAAGGTTGAATAACACCGAAGGCGCACCAAGCAGCTGTTTGAGAATTTTCGCCGGACGTGCGTTAAACAGGCTGATCTGCAAAAAATTTCAAAATTTTCGACACAAAATTGAGGTAGATTGTTCCAGAGTACAAGGAGTTTATTGAGAGTGTCATGAGATGAAAATATGCCCACAAGAAATACGTTCGAAGGCATAAAAGTGAGGTTAGATGGGGAAAAGAGAAAAAAAACGTGTGATGTCACAGAAACAGAGCGACACCAATGGATCGTGTTTGCAGTACTATAGGAGTGAAATTCAAAAATCGCTCAAAGCACCGTGGTAGCTTGTTTCCAAAACTTTTAGCAGCAAAAAATTGATTATTGAAACGAATGAAACTCCCAAACATCATAAAAATCGAAATTAAGAAAAAACGTTTTTATTAAGACTAGATTGAATTCAATACTGCTCAAAGCAAACTTAGAAATGAATAGTTGCTGTACGAGCTTTTGAAAAGATTGAATGAATTTTTTTAAATACTTTTTAGCAACCACTTATTTAAGAAGAAAAACAGCTTGGACACATTTTTTGCGATATCTTATCAATTGTGAAGTTTGAAAAAAGTTTGATTATTTTACAAGCCCACCTGCCTTCTCTACATATTTTCACTTCATACAGTCCGCGTGCTTCAGTTTTTCAGTAGTTACTGTTATCACTTTTAGTCACGAAATTAAATGAAAAATAAAGAGTAGGC